AGACAGAGTTGTTTAGCGCCTTGCTTTTTGCTGAGTCTGGCTTTGAACTCGAGATCCTCCTTCTCATCCTYCCAAGCCATTGGGATTATGCGCCACTGTGCCCGGTCGTATCTTTTAACTGGAGAATTAAGACCATCTACATTCAGAGTTATTAATGAAACGTATGGACTTGTACTTGTCATTTTGTTTTCCTTCTGGTTGTTTTTAATATTCTGAGTCTTCCTCTTTCATCTTTGTGGTTTGATGGTATATTTTATTGATAATATTTCATTCTTTTCTATTATTGTATATCTATTCTGTCGAGATTTATATTTTTACATGCTATTATGATGGGAGTTATTTTTCTTTCACTACTGTGTTTAAGATTCCTTTGAGCATCTATAAAGGCTAGTCTTTCGGTCATAAATCCCTTAGTTTTTGTTTATCTTGGTAGGTCTATACTTATCTAATTCTGRACAAAAAAACCTTGCTGGATGTAATTTTTGTTGGCAGTTGTTTTTCTCTCAGAATTTGAAATAATATTACATGTCCTCCTGGCCTATAGGCTGTTAGTCTAGTGGGTTTACATTTAAATGTGACTTGGCACTGTTGGAGATTTAAAAATTCTTTGTCTTGTACTTTTTTTGGGGGGGGCGGGGGGGCAGTATTAGAGATTGAACCTGGGCTAGTTTACCACTGAGCTATAAACCCCATCCCTTTTTATTTTGAGACAGGGTCTCACCAAATTGCTAGGCTGACCTCCAACTTGTGATCCTCTTGCCTCAGCCTGTTGGATTTATGGAATTCCAGGTGTGTGCCACTGTCCGTGGTTGTCCTGTACTTTTGATAGTTTGACTATGGTACATTCTGGGGAGGATCATTTTTGGTCATGTCTATTTGGGGTTATATGGGTCTTGTACCTGGTTGTCTACGCCTGTCAAGATTAGGGAAGCTTTTTGCTTTTATTTTATTGAATAGATTTTCTATGCCCTTAATCTTTTTTCCCTTTCGTATATGCTGATGATATAGAAGTTTGATCTTTTAATTATGTCCCATACTCCTTTCATTTTTATTTTATTTCAGTATGAATGTGATATTTCAAAAGACCTGTCTTCAACCTCTGATTCTGTTGTCCTGTTGATCTAGTCTATTGTTGAGGCTTCCAGCTGAATTTATCAAACTTATAGAGCTCTTTATTTTCAAGATTTATGATGGGTTCTTTCTTAATTTCTTTGCTGAATTTCTCACTGATGTCCTGCATTGTCTTTCTAATTGCATGTCTTCCTAATTTTTCATTCTTTGTATTCTCTTAGACCTCATTGAGCTTTTAAAAATTTCTTTTGAATTAATTTTCAGTCATGTTATCTACTTTGATATTTATGGAATCTGTTAYTAGAGAGTTATGATCTTTAGGATGTCATATTACCCATTTCCCCATTTTTCTTGTGTTTCTATATTGAGAACTGCAGAGCTGATGAAATGGATATTTACCACCTTCATGAGATGAAATTCTTTTTTTTWAAATTGTAAATGGACACAACACTTCTATTCCACTTATTTATTTTTATGTGGTGCTGATGATCTAACCCAGTGCCTCACATGTGCCAGGCAAGCACTTCACCACCAAGTCACAACCCCAGCCCCAACATGATCTTCTTTTTTTTTTTTTAATTTTTTTTTTCAACATGATCTTCTTAACAAGCGACTGTCTACGAAAGATATGGATATGTCTTGGGGAATCAGTTTGTTATGCAATATTATGTTTATTTACAGCTGGGTAATACAGTGTAATCTTCCTGCAGCTTCATTGTCTGTGTTTAGTGAGTTTGAGAATAGCACATACTGTATTGGAGTTGGACAGGGCCACTATTTCTATGGGTTATGCAAGGGTAAGGATATTCTAGAAGTTGAGGCAGATGTAGTGTAGAAAGTATATGGGTGTACCCTGTGTGGTTACCCCTGCAATGGGGGTAGTGGCCTCTATCAGGTAATCAATTTTCTCATACACTGTTGATATTGGCCCTTTTATATTAAAGAGTATCTGGTATTGGTTGCTCCTGTAGTGATGAGGAGCCTGAGGTTCTTGTCCTCTGATTAGACACTATTTTGGGCCCAGGTCCTTCATGGCTATAGGCAGGAATCACAGAACCCTTTATGTGGCACTCACACTGTCTTGTCAGCCATGCATGATCAGGGGATCACCAAAGCAGAGGACCTGTATAGGTGTAGTCTCCTCTGAGTTTTTTGCAATTGTGAATACAAGGATTGAGCAGGATTGGGTCACTGCACAAAAATGCACTTAGCTGAAGTGCTTGCAAGGGCAGAATGTGGTTGGTACCAGGGACTTTTTTTTTTCTCTGAAACTTCTTGGGCTGCATAGCCCAAGGGTAGGAAATAGTGGACATTTCCCCCCACCCCCTGATTTCTTTCAACTGTATTGCCCACCAGGTATTGAATGGGACTGGTCACGTAGGGGTAAATTCCTCTCAATTGAGATGCTCACAGGAGCCAAGGAGGGTGGAATATGGCCATTGCTGGGGAGTTACTCTCTGGACTTTCTTAGGCTGGTTGCCTCAGGGGCTGGGTTTGTGGCAGTGTTGCCTAAAACTGCCTTAGCACCTCCCTGTGGGTGGGGGAGTGGTAGAAACTCAGTTGTCCCCTACTTTGTTTATTTTTTATTTTTTATTAGTTGTTCAAAACATTACAAAGCTCTTGACATATCATATTTCATACATTTGATTCAAGCGGATTATGAACTCCCCCTACTTTGTACAGAAGTAGGGGCCGGAGAGTTTGTGGGAACTGTGCAGGCAGTCATCTTGTTCCTGGTAGGTGCTATCAGGAACCATGTATAGTCGACTAGCAACAGCCCGGGTCTCACAGGGCAGGTTCCTGGATCCCCTAGTCCTTGTGGGTGGCTCTGACTCTACTGTACAGCCCTTTCAGTGAGTCTCTGTCAGGTCACTCCAGCCAGCCAGATCTGGCTCATGAGGCAGCCACCTGCTGAGCAGCCTAGGAATGTCAATGGGGTCCCAACATGGGAACATATAGAAGCTTCTGACCCGTAAAGTAGTCTAAATTCAGATAGTCCCTCTCAGGATGGCTCCTGGCTACTGCACCCTGGGGATCTCCCTGGAGATGAAGTAAATTCTTTTCTAAAGTCAGATTACTCTGCTCATTTTAGGCCCTTTATCTATTTAAGCTGTAAGTCTGCAAAGGGCCACGAAACTTTCAATTGTTCAGGATTGTCAGTATTTGAGCTTAGAGTTTTCTGGGATTCTTTGACCCTTATCTTTGTGCACTTTCTCTTGCCCTGCTTCGGAGCTGGGGTGGTAGATGGTGGACATTTTATTTATCTTGCTACAATGCTGCCCTATCTCTTATTTTTTTCTGTTCTGTTACTGAAGTGGCTAAAAGTCACAGTGTGACCCCACTCTATCTCTAGTTCTCCTGTGAAACAAGATAATGTGCACCCAAACAATGAGCCTTCAGTCTCTAATGCTAATTATAATTAAAAATAATCAGGGCTTCTTGTAGAATAGCTGATTCCATGTTTGGAGCAGAAAAATTGAAGATGGACTTGGCGTATATTATCTTACTCCTTACAAAATTCAACCTATTTTTGGCTTATAATGATTAGCAGTGGAAGTAGGAACCAGGAGATCCAGTGTGGATTTATTTGCAGAAGACAAATAATTTTCACTTTATCAATCTTGAGTGACATTGATTTTTAGCAAATCATTTCAGAAAATCACGTGATATCCTTGTGAATAGACAAAGACATGTAGAGTGGATTTTAGGACAAATATATGAAGTCAGACTATCAAACAAAAGATAAATAGATGATTTGCAAGTGGGCAGAAAGAATCCAGTGGCATTTAGAAAAGCTTAATTCTTGACTCTTGACCTTTTAATTCAACATTTCTATTAACAACTAGAATGATGACATGCTTATAAAATTTAGGTAGGACACAGTTATGAGGGTTGGCCTACTTGCCCTGCAAGAGTGTTCTAAAAGATACCTTTAGTTTGGAACAAGGCTTGAACATGAATCATTTGAAATTTAATATGAGCAAGCATAAGATATTGAACAAGCATAAGTACTTAGTCTTTCAAAATAAACAGTCTACAATGAGAAACCACTAAATTTTTAAAAATTGAATAAGGAAGATCTAGGGTTATTAGTTAATGTAACTCAAAATGTTAATAACATTTTTTTCTTAAGCAATCATATTAATCTAACTCAAAATGTTAATAGCATTTTTTTCCTAAGCAACCATATTATACTATCTTGGGCTAAATTAGTGTCTAGAGCAAGGAGCATAAAACTTTTTCTGCAAAGGGCCAAATATTAAATATTTAATTTTTTGTTTGGCTTTATGATCTGTCACAACTACTCAATTCTGCCCCTATAGTATGAAAAGAGGCAGAGAAAATAAAGAAATAAACATGGCCATGTTCCAATGACACCTTATTTATAGAGACAAATTTCAATTTTGGATTATTTTTACATATGAGAGATTCTTTTTTTAAAACTTTTAAAATGTGGGGGAAAAAATCATGTTTAGTGTGGGCCATACACAGATAGATGGCAGGTGGGAGTGACTGGTAGGCACAGTGTTCTGACCCTGATCTAGATCAAAAGGCTAATCTGCCTTGATCAAAATTTCCTGGCAATGAGGGCAACTTAAACCCTAGCATAACAAGTGGAGAAGCGAGACATGTTTTCTCCATAAGAGAAAAATGAAGARCACGAGGGACATTGAATAACACCCCAAAGGCTGTCATATGATTAGAAGATAATATACCTGTGTTGTCCTACCAACCAGCACAATGACAGGATATTTCAGGGAGGCAAATTTAACTGAGTACAAGGAAGAATTTTCTGTCACAGCTGCTCCACCATAAAGTAGGCTGCCCGTTAGAGTCATCTTTCTGCTATTTCTCATGAATGTTACTTGGGATTCTTCACAGAGGTGGGAATCAGTGAAAATTTAGAAATATTATAAAGTAAACCTAACCTTCAAAAATCCTTTGGACCTCTTGATTAATATACTTCTTTATTTCTTCAAATGAAACTGCATCAGCCTAAAGAAGAAAAAAGATGAGTCTATTAAAATAGAACACAGAAAAAATGAATTAAGAATAGAAATTTTGGGTTGGCATGCACACTTAACTTTTGTAGAAATACATTTTTCAAGCAAAAATGCTTTTGGCAATTGTACTGTATAATAAATATCTTTTGATCAAATGCTGAGAATATGTTGAAGTGCATAATTGCTTTAAAAGCTGTGAACTAGAATGGTGTCTAGTGATATTAACATATTTTCTATTAGTGGAGAGACATAGCTTCATACAATTAGGAAAGTTCCTGTTACTTCATTTTATAAAGTTAACCTAAACAGCATTATCTTGATGTTCAAATCTCAATCACAATTCAACTTCCAACCAATCCCTTGACACAGGCAAGAGTCCTTGTTTGATATTACAATATCCATAAAGAGAAACTGGAAGAGAACTTAAGGTATGCTGGATTAATCTTTTTTTAATATTTATTTTTCTAGTTATATGTGGACATAATGTCTTTATTTTACTTCATGTGGTGCTGAGGATTGAACCCAGGGCCTCATGCATGCTAGGCGAGCACTCTACCTCTGAGCCACAATCCCAGCCCTGGATTACTCTTTATAAAATATTTTATCCATGAAATAAAACATTAAATTTTGCCTTGACCAATGGTGTTTTGCATGCATTTGATAATGAATCTAACACTTATAAAGTTTCGTTATAAAACCTTGGTAATTTTAAAAGGGAGTTATTTTCACAATGATTAGAATTTTAAATTTTACTATTCTTTATATTTGGTTATTATCTTAAGGTATTCTGGGCAATAAATATATCCTGTACAATGTAATGTAGATWAGATATTGTGACATAGGGAATCATCCCCATTGCTTTCTATGTATGTTTCAGATATGGACATGAACAAAGATTATAATGGGATATGTAGTTAGATGAGCGACTTGGAAGATCCATGGAAATCACCATGCAGTGAGACTTTCAGACTGGAGCATGGCTTCAACTCTTCTCTTTAAGTAGTGAGTCCTAATTTATAAAAGTTCCTTTATAAAAGTGGAATGGAGGGCTGGGTTTGTAGCTCAGTTGGTAGAGTGCTTGCCTAGTATGTGTGATCACTGAGTTAGATTTTCAGCATCACAAATAAATGTCTATTGACAACTAAAAAACAATTTTAAAAAAAGTGGAATGGAAAGACACTCCTCTCAGATGGGTTGTGAAGATCAAGTGAGGTGATGCACAGCAAGGCTTAGAGGATCTGGCACAGAAATTCAAAAACAGAAACCAGCTTAAGTGTATTTTACATATTTTAAAAAGCATTATCATTGCTCTCATTATAAATGAGGTATATGGTTGATAAAGCTACTTACCGGAGGGCCAGGGATTCCTGGGGATCCTGGAGGGCCTTGGTGGCCAGGGGATCCCATGGAGCCCTTGTTTCCTGGTGGCCCCATAGGACCTATAGCTCCTTTCATGCCTGTAAGGCCTGGTTTTCCCCGTTCACCTTGTGGACCTCTATCTCCTGGGATTCCCTGATCACCCTGTTGGAAGGAGGGGAAAGAAAAGAATGATCCTCTCTAGAACCTCATCAGCTGTGGCTAAGAACAAAGTTTTTGGATTCATAGTTGCATTTATTTACTGTTGGACCATGGATAAGTGACTTAAGCTTTGTCACTTAAGCTTCCTTTCTTATAGGGATATTAATAGGATCTACTAGGTAGGGCATTGTTGGGAAATACACGAATTAACCCAAGTAGAGTGCTGAGAACAATGTCTGGTACCTTGGAAGCACTAAAGATATAATTGTTATTGATGAAAACAATTGTACCCAGTTGCCTGTCTAGAATGATGGAATTTCAGAAAAGTCAATATCAGTAGTCACTTCAGGCCTGGATTTCCTTCATAATAATAAAGGAATATTGCCAGTGGGATCTCATCAGAGATCCTCCATGTAAAAAATCTTCAGGACACTCAGAACCTCTTCTACATTGTGAACTTTCATTTTTTTGCTCTTCCTGTGCTCTCATATTTGGCCTTTATTAGACTCTTTGAGTTTGTTTTCTGTGCTCGTGTCTTACCTGTTTGTGTGTGTGCATGCACATGTATTCACTGTGTCCTAAATATATACAACTCATGAAGGTGAGAGATGAGAAAGCCATTGTAAAGGTTTGAAGCAGGTGCCTGGAGGAGGGTTGTCACTGAGATAGTTTACTCAATGGCATAAATGAACTACAAGAGAATTTCTTGAAGAAGATGTCAGAAAAAATTAGGAATGAGATCATATTAGATGTTCCTGAAGTTTCTTTAATGTTGTCTTTTATGCTGCAATATGTCCACTAGTATATGCAAAAGAGGGAGACAGTGCACACACAGTGGGTGCTTCAGTTACAGATTTTCAAACATTTAGTTGCACAATTCTAGGAGGTGATGTCCACACCAAATGTGATGGACTGGTGCTTGTGCTTCCCTGAATTTCATCACATTAATCTTTCATTTGTAATTATTTTGCAGAAGGACAAAATGTGTTATCTTGGTTTTAAAGAGTAAAAATAAATGAACAATTAGAGACCTTTTGTGATCACAGGATGTGAAGAGAGAATCCATATACAAAGAGAAAATGGGTGGATCTAATATCAGTGCTACTGTATCTTAGTTATAAAAATGTATCTGTACAGATACATCAACCCAGCATATGCTGGGAGAAATTCCTGAGATAACTTAAAAATAAAAATAAAAAAAACTGCAGATAAAGGGGACTAGTTAAGTGAAATAAGGCATATCCAAAAAGTGAAACATAAAGCCATTAAAATGTAGATGTAGATTTATATTTACAGACAAGGACAGTCATTATATATTGGTAGATGAAAATAATTTACAAAACACATATTTTTCAGAAGACTATTTGTTTATATTGGTATATATAAATATGTGCACTATGTGTAAGTGTATTATGTATAAGGGTGAGAAATGGAAATATGTCCAAAGTACCAGTGTTTCTCTGTGTAAGGAGACAAGGCAAACTTTCTTTTAAAATTGATATTTTGTTCACATTTCTTTTAATTAACATGATTTTTTAAAGAGAGAGAGAGATAACTTTTTTAATATTTATTTTTTAGTTTTCGGTGGATACAACTTCTTTATTTGTATGTGGTGCTGAGGATCAAACCCAGGCCGCACGCATGCCAGGTGAGCACGCTACCGCCTGAGCCACATCCCAGCCCCAAATTAACATGATTTTTTAAAATTAGTAAACTAGACAATAGTACACAAACATGTGACACACTTGTGCATAATAGCAACCCTACATAGAACGATGCAGGGTAATGCTCAAGTAACTGGCTGTAGTGGCACAATGCCAGTCCTACTAGAATACATCAAGGTTTAGTAAAGAAAAGAGTGTCATGTTTCAATAACATTAGCAGCAACCCAAATGGTTTACATAAAAGCAAATCACATAAATGGCATTACTACAACTTCCTTACAAATGTACTTCCCCTTTCTATTTCTCTACTTCCTCACACCATCTTCCTTATTCTCCTGAGAACCCCTGCCAGAGAGGGATACTAATCAGGGCAGTTTTGGTTCCCAGGAGGTATATAGYGAGGTCTGAAGACACTAAGAGTGGCCACAATTAGAGGGATAGTGGTGCTATTGCATCTAGCAGGTAGAGGCCAGGGATACTGCTGAGCATTCTTCAGTACACAGGACAGCCAGCAACATCACTTATCTGCCCCCAAATACTAACAGTGCTGAGGTTGAGAAAACCCTCTCTAGGTAAAAGGAATCACGGGCAATGGTTAGAGTAGGCATATGTGTGTRGGACAATAGGTGGGCAAAGCTTTCCAAACAGAATAGCAAAGTAGAATTAAGTATGTATAAAGGCCAAAGTGGCAGGTGTACCTGCCATGTGACCTGTTTCTGGGTCTTTTATCATGTTTTATACCTAATAGAGATTTTGGGTCATATACACCTAGACTTTTTCATATTAGGAGATTTGGAGGTATCTACGTGCATAATTGTGTAATTAACATGATGGTACAGTTATAATTAGTTTGAACAGCAATCACAATAGTAATGTACATACCCGTTCTCCTTTGGGGCCTCGGTCTCCAGGTTTACCCATGATGCCCTGAAAAACAGATGTCAACATTAAAGTCACTACTTGCCGAGATTCTTAATCAATCTGATTGACTAAAATGTTGGTAGATATTCTGGATGCACTTACATATTAGAATTTTAATTTTACCTGGCATTTCACATACCTGAGCACCTGGTAATCCATCTTTTCCATTTATTCCCTATCAAGACAAAAATGATCAATACTTCTAATTTTTCAATAACGGACATAAACACAACAAAAGGGTAAAGATTCAAGGACAGTTTCTTAATTATACTTGTTAGAGTTTGCTGAGTCAATGTGGTAAAATAGAAAAACAAATCAACAGACAGCCCTGAGTTCAAATTCTGATCCTGTCATTTACTAGTTCCATCAACCTCAGTAGCATCAAATGCTTCACTTGTAAAGTGACTTAGAACTAAGGATTCAGCAAGATAAAACATAGCTCCCCATAGTAGTAGCCAAAGGTTCTTTCCACACTTATTTTCCTGTTTAGGTGCATTCTGGGAGATAAGAAGGTGCCCCACCACACTAGGTGGCTGGGGCACAGAATTTTTGTTACCTTGTAACAAAATTTCCAGCATACAGAGTCTCTTAGTAACCATCTCAGTTACTAATGAGGGAATTTTACAACATGGCCAGAGTCTTATCCTACTATGAAATAAGTTGTCAGCCACAGAACATTGTTATTCTTCAGCTAGAAAATATGAAAAGCAAGCTAGAAATCTGTAACCATGGTTTTTAAGACTATTAAGTAGTGACTTTTTATTAGAAAAGTGGAAGTTTGCTAAACTTTAAAAGGCAGTTTGGGAAGTGGTAATAAAGCCTAGGCCTGCTCGGAGATTTATAGGACTGGGAGAACTATTGGCCAGGAGGTAGATATGAGGAGGAAAAGTACTCGGGGTCAAACCAAATACCCAGGGCCCAACAGCAGATGTGTTTTGGAGATTTGATTTGAAGAGAGAGCGATCAAGGTGAGGAACATGATTTCTTGGCCAGCAGGTGATTGCATGGGAATGCTCCTCTGAAAAGCCTGAGAGACTTTTATTGTGCTGGGATGGATTTTGTGAGGATGGAACTGCAGACAGCTGCAGGTCTTCCCTGCTGTAAATTAYGCTGATATCTGTCACAGTTGATAACCCAACTGCAGCCTCTCAACCTCTCTGAAATATCCTGGGAATTATCTACAGTGCTTTAACTAAGAACAGATTACCTGAAGAGCATGGTTCAAAGAATTTATTACATTCAGGTACACAAGCAACAAAGATAAAGCTCATTAAGGAGAGGAAGAAACAATTGTCACTTGAATAAAAGAAGATAGATCTACTGTAAAAATGTAACTCATGCTTTTGGTAATAATATAAGAAAAGAAATAAGCCTGTCCTTTTTTTTACCCTCAAGTAATTTAGCCAAGACTATCATGAGTGTACCCCTTTGTATATAAAGGGGTACAGGAGTCCTGCTTTGAAAATTATTATTTATTTGTTTGCTTTTTAAAAACTCCTGGGTATTTGCCTCTCTCCTTGCCTCACTTGTCTGCCAGAACCCTATACCTGGGTATGAACAATTTTGTGCTGTCCCCACACCTGCCTCTGAGCAGTGACTGGCTGAAGAAAACTGTATCTCTTAGCTCACATGTCCTAAGTATGTGATGGCAGATTGCAAGCAGCCACTCTGTTGCCATGTTATCCTTCTATTTCCCAATCTGATTCCTTTTCCTTCTCTCCAAAAGTACTCTTTCATATATTTTCCTGTTTCTTCAAACCTCTAGCATTAATGCTCTACTCCTCATACCTATCAAATGACCTCAATTCTTTCACTGGGACAATAAACATGAGAGAACTCCTTCACATTCTCTTTACCAGCTTGTTCCATCAACCTTGTACCCCAACTTCTGTAGTGCTACCTCCACCCTTCACAGCTAAGGATGAATGACAATCTTCCTAGTTAAAATGAATTTTCACCTTTAAGCAGGGGGAGAGGACAGACAGCTTACTTAATGTGTCATGAAAATTTTCCCCTCTCAAGTGACCCTTTCTTATCAAGATACTAACATGCTGTAATCTCTCCCATCAGTGACCTCCACATCTTTAAATCTAATGGAAAATTTTCAGCTATTCTATTACTTATTTGTATGTTATCACTCCTTAACTAAAACACTTAGTTCACTTGACACCAATGAAACTCCATTTGTCTGGTTTTCTTCACATCTCATTGGCTGTACCTCCCAGTCTTCTTTGCTTGACCTTTTTAATATTCTAAATGCTTTCTTCCCTACGTTTCCACAGTGACTCCATTTTATCCAGGCCCAGGTTTAAATACCCAAATCTTTCCAATCCTGATCTCTTCATTAATTCTGGATGCATATATCCCCAGCATACTTGACATTTCCGCTATCTTTTAGTGCTTCAATATGAATGTGTACAAAATGGAGAACTCTTGGTTCTATTTCCAAACCCCTACTATCTCCAGTCTTCCCCATTTTGCCAAATGACACTTTCATATGGTTGCTCAGATTCCAAACCACGGCTTTGACTGGTGTGTCCCTTACATTTCACTTTCAGCCTAACAGCAAGTCTTATCAGCTGTCTCTTTAGGGAACCTCCTAACTCGCCCTAACCATGACCAGCTGATTTCTACCACCCTTATTTCTCATGAAGGTGCTTCTTACAGTCTAATCTTCATACAAACAGAGTGAGTATTAAAGTGTAATCTGAATTTTGTTCCCTGCTACAAAAGTTCCAAAAGGTTTCCATCATTTCTCAGATGAAAGTGAAACTCCATTCCAATGCTTAGAATTCCTGTGGGCTGGCCACTGCTTACCTCTCCCTCAGTGTATCCCCCATTCTTCTCTCTCAGTTCATCTTGACTTCATGCCATTTGCTATTCCTTGACCTCACCCCACTCACTTCTATACTAGCCATTTCTTTTGCCTGAAATGATTTTTTCCAACTTCTTCATGACTTGATCTCTTTAATGCTCAAAGTGCAAGCTATCTCTGACCACCTAATTTAAGTCATACTGTAGTGCTTCACTCTAGCTATTCTTCTACCTGCAAATGTGGGTGTGTATTTGTTGACTCTGTTCTTACACTAGAAGACAAACCCTATGGGTTGTCAGCACCAGAACTGTGCTCAGCGTGTAGCAGGTGTTCAAGGATTATTTGTTGAATAAAAAATTATTTTTTGTATAATCCTCTGGGGACTCAATAGTAAGATTTTACAAGACAGGGGTTAGGAATGAGGACTGGGTAAGGGGTGGTGAAGAGCAGGGAATATAATCAATATTTACTGAGCACTTCCCACAGCCAGGCACTGGGAATCCTCCCATATGTCATGTCACTTAACTGATTCACGATAATGAATCATAGTTCAGACTCAAATGTATCATAGTTCAGACTCAAATCTTCTCTATAAATTGCATATACTTTCCATTTATCATATTGCCTTAGGGAATATGGTGTCAAGGAATACACCAATCCTGATGTTTCACAGAGGTATTGAACTAGCTTCGTGAGCCTTGTGATGCTTGCTAATTCACTTTTAATCTTCCCCTTCTCCTGACTTCCCTTTCCCACACAGACTACAGCAAATAAATAAGCAAAAGAGGCAATGACCTTCCATAAAGAATAACTCTGAGAGTGAGCATGTCTGATTCATCTTCTATCTTCTCCCTCATGACCCTGTGCATCCTTAGCAAACAATAGGGACTAGACAAATATATGTTGAATAGGAATGCTTTTTTGAAGTGTTGCATCAATACTATATATCAGTAGTTAAGAGCTCTTGTAGGACATGAGGGAATGATATATCAGCAGCAGTGATTTATGAAAGTGTGAGAACAAGGCTTCTATTTTAAAGGAGGGAATTTGAGAAAATAGCTTCTACTTTAGTCTTCACATACAGATATTATATCTGTGAGTCTTTGGTTTCTTTGTAATTTAGTAAATGACAGGCCATTTTATTTATTTCTTCACTCTGGATTTTAGACTAAAGAAATAATGAGAACTTTCCAGGCACTTAAAACAAACGTCTGACCTTTTCRTCACCGAGATGTAAAAATACCATATAGAGAGCTAGGAAACTCATTAAAAATCCCCACTTAGGCTCCTCCAAATCCATTTGTAGAACCTACATTCTTTAAAACCGTTTATTCAAATCTCACAATTTCGGAGGAGATGGGTAAAGAGGTAATGCTTGGAACACTTCTCTAAATGGCAAATTTTAAATAGTAAAAGAAAAGACTTACTGGCTTTCCAGAGGGTCCTTCTGGTCCAGGGAAACCAATATCTCCAATAGGTCCCCTTTCACCCTATAAACGTGTCCAGAGAAAAAATTAATTGCCAATAAATGCTTTAAAACAGCTTGCAAATACAAAAAAGTACAAATATGATAAAAGTGGCAACTCACTGGCTCCCCTGGAACTCCTGGAGGCCCTGGGGTACCTGGCTTCCCCTGATAAAGCAAGTCAGAGATGTGTTAGGAGCCAAGCTACTGAATGATGCCATGTGCTTCACCATGACTTTCAAGTGCTACCAGGGCAGTAGGTCTTGAAGTTAAAATGGCATTCCTAAAAGGACAGAGTCCAGGGCATTCTGTAGACTATACTGTAGATTGGAGCGCTGCTCTCCATACATTTGTGTGGAGGGGTGGAAGGACAGAATGCTTTTGAAAATGTTAAACCAATGTATCCTCATTATTGGAAATCCCCCTTATGCTTCCCCCCACCCCTGGCAGCTCATCTTTATAGAGAGGAAGAGCAAAGAAGGTCAAAGAAGTCTCCCAGGCTTTCAATTTCACAAGAAAGTTTTTCTGTTTATAGTAGAACAGCTTTTTTTTTTTTTTTTTTTAAAAAAAAGTACTGGCTTGGTTTGAAAATCCATGTTTCTGTTGAAATGGGGCAGGGAAAGATTGCTTTAATCTACTCTGGTATGGAGGATGGACACTATGGAGATAGGGAGACCACGGGAAGACACTCTTCTCCTGAGAAGTGCCAAAGTGTCCATCCCAGGCCTATGGTATTGCTCTTGAAGGAACTACCTTCTACCCCTTGCACCTAACATGGTTGGGAAAACAGACAAGATRGGATGTAGGTGTGGGGCTGAGAGATGTGAAATCCCAGTAAGTTCTGGGGCATATGAAAAGGAAGAATCTTTTTCTTCTTGTCTAGAATTCTGGGAGAGACTCCTTACAGTACAGAAATGGCAGAGAGGTAAAGTTAGAAAGACATGATGTCTGGGGGAACATTTTTGGCTTCCACAGGAACTCCTAAAGTTCCTGTGGGCCCAAGTGGGATAGGTTAGAGCTGAGAAGACCAATGTCTTGGTGTAGGACATGGGGTTATAGGGTGCTGATGCCCCAAGATATGAGAAAAAAGAATTGGGGACATTGGTGGAAGACAGAAGCTGTTCCACAGGTCACCAGAAGAGAACTCAGAGAACCTGGGGAAAACATGGCCCAGTTGATCAGATGGCCCTACCCATGGCCAACACATAGACATCTCCTTCTGTTTACCCATGTGCCATCTTGGGAGAAGGTAAAGAGAGAAGCTGTGGAGAAGCCCATAGACAACCCTGACAATATTGGCAGAGATAGACTGGGCTGTTCAAGAAAGAGCAGTATGGGTGGTTTGCATCTCAGCTGAGTGACCATATGTTCAAGTGCGCAGACCCCATCCCTGTTTCAGCTATAATAATCATCTTTGAATTTTCAGGGYATTCAAATATAGATGATACAAAATTTACCATTTTAATCATTTTTGAAGTATACAATTCATTAGCACTGAGTACATTAATAATTTAATAGTCACCACTGTTTAGAGCCTTTTAACTTTTCTGAGCCATAGCAAGTTCCAATTAAAATAAAAGCACATCTTTAATTATACAGTTGCATATTTTCAGTGTGTAAAATTTTTACACCTTCATATTTTTCTAACATTAATGATTTTAATTGAGATATGAAAGATAATTTTAAACTAAGTGTGTCAGATCTTAGGTAGTCAAATATGTGGCAGGCCAGCCTCTCATTTAAAACATGCTATATACCTTTGGAATGCCTTTTTTTTCTTCTTGGCTTTGGAGATGATCACAGGTATTGTAAGGACTTTCACTGGTGGTCAGTAATTTTTCTTTGAATATATACTTAATTTAAGGCCATATCAAAAAGTAATTTGTAGTTATACCCATGTKAATACAATAGAAAATTAAGCTTAATTATATTACATGGAAGCAAAAACAGAATGTGAATATAAGAGGCAATTCCAGAAACAGTCTAGGAATGGTGGTAAGGAAGGGAGTGAGGAGAGAATGGTACTGTGAAGTTGACTTTCAAGAAGAATCTTCCTTTTTTAAAAAAAAAAAAAATCAAGTGCTTGCTAAAGGAAACATTTTAATGTTACTTTTACAATTATACAAATATTTATCTGATCTAGACAAGTGAAATAGGGGATGTCATTTTCTATAAAGATATAGATTATAGATAGGGCTTTACTTAGTGTTTTATCAGTTAAATGGATGACACACAATGACTGGTGCTTTGGTAGGTGGTGAGAGTAGTACTTTCTTTCTTTCTTCCCATGTTCCTCTTTCAAACGGTTTTCATTGACTTTCTATACCACTACACCGGACCTGCCCTGCAGGGGCACCTAGCAAGAGGATAAATGGCCTCTTATTCATAAAGCGTGACCACAAAATTTTAATTAGAGCATCATGAATGAAGATCAGAATGATCCCGAGGGCTCACAGAAATGATTTCAACCTTTCCTGGAGCACTTCCTATTCATTTGAAAAGACCTTGATGAGATTAAAACATTTGACACTAGAGAGCAACAAAAATGATTGAGAGGACTGAAGGGCTAGTTTATGAGGAAACATTAGCAGCGATAAAGCTCTGCTAATAATACTGGGCTAAGGGATAATACAGGAAGATTGTAGCTTAATAGAAAGAATTTGAAGCACAGGCCTGGGCTGAGAACTCTGCCTTTTGAAGATTGAGAAACCTTGAAATATGACAAGAATAGAGAAACAAAATACAATTTTTATCTGTGCTCATATGTCAAATGTAGTCAGTTAACTGGGTTTCCCCTCCACCCCTCTATACCACCCCAATAAAAGTGACTTAGGAAAGAAAAATACAGGAAGAAAATGAATGGAGCATTCTTGGATTGGGAAAGGGTTCTATTATTTAAACCAGAGGTTCCAGGAACCTAATGCCATAGTTATGGTGTGCTTCCCAGTCCTTCTTGATCCCTGGCTATAAATTTATTGTGGAGAAAATACGAACCTACAAAAATAATGTAAGATCATAATAACTCACCGATGTTCCAGCTATTCCTGGAGGACCTGCTGGGCCTCTATCTCCCTGTAAGGATTAAAGTAAAATTGCTATTTAAAATGATATCTATAAAATCATACAAATGCTCAAATAATTTGGATTTGGTAAGGCTTTTCTTTAGATGTCATAAATGCTATCAATATTAGCTGGCATGAAATTAGAGGGTGAACAGGAAAACAACAAAATGATGATCCAATTTCACATGTTATAGCACACCCCTATAAAACCAAAGAAAATAGGATTCAATAGGATTCCATATATATAGTTAAAAGTTGTCAGTGTATTGCATGTATTAAAAAAAAAACCCATTACTATTACTTGAAAGATTAGGCCCATCAAGTACCTTCTTAAAATCTTTTCTTACACTTGTCTCATTGGATATAGGGTTAGAATAAAAAGATCTGGAAGTAAGGATTTGTAGTTTCATTTGATGGATCGAAAGATCCCTTTAATTGTCTGAAAAACAGTGACTCAACTCTTTTTCAAGAGGCAATGTGGTTTTCAGATATAGCTGACAATGCTAAAAATACTAATGGTTATATAGGATAATAAAATGGCAATTTCACTGGGCCGAACCTATATTTTTAAAAACTTTATAACTTCACTTAGGGACATAAAAGAAGACCCAATTAAATAAAGAAATTTGCTTTGTTCCTGAAGGGTAAGACAATGTTATAAAGGTGTCATTGCTATCCAAACTAACATATAAACTTAATGCAATTTCTTATAACATTGTAGTTTGATCAAAAGATATTAGAGCTCACTTGAGATAATACATAAAATAAAAAGCTTAAATACTAGCAATACCAATATTTAAACATAAAGCTATAATAATTGCAATGTGAGATACTGACATAAAATTAAGCAGTACATTGATGTAATACAATATAAATCTCAGAAATAGACCAGCATTTATAATAGGATGTTAATTAAGAAAGGGATATATGATTCAACAAATAAAGCTAATAATAGGGCGATTTCCTTAAAAAAGTTTGATTCCTGTCTTTATATAAAACTAAAACAATGTGAACTATAAGAGCTAAAAGATGCATTAGTGATTGGTTGAAATGAAAATGTCATTTTGTGTAAAAAAGCAAAACACAACCATTTGTTACATGATTGTTATTTGATTATATTTATAATATTATTAAATGAAAGGAAAAGATGAACTAACATTAAAAATTCTAACCTATGTTTAGATGGAAGTAATGTCTTTAACATATACAGCATAGCCACAGTCAAAAAGAAGAAACTAAAAGAAAAATAAATGCATCACAATCTCACCCATATCTTAAAAAGTGGATCTACTAGAAGTAGATAATAGAACAGTGATTTCCAGAGACTAAGGAGAGAACGGGTGGTGGAGAAATGGGGAGAGGCTGTGTAATGAATACAAACACACAATCAGATACAAATAAGTTCTGGTGTTCCATTGCAAAATGCAGGATGGCTATGGTTAGCAATGTTTTGTATATTTCAAAATTGCTAGAAGACTAGATTTTGAATGTTCTTACCACAGAGAAATGATAAGTGTTTGAGATGATGGATTTGCTAATAACCCTAATTTGATCATTATATACTGTATGTATATGAAAACATTGTACACCTAAATATGTACAATTATTATGTAGCTAAAAATTTTAATAGGCAAAATTGTAAGTTTCAGTCTATTTCCTTTAAAATATGAAATTTTTACCTTTGAATACACTAGAACTTCCATTTGTTGAAATAATGTACATGTGATAAAGATTAATGTTAAGAGGACTCCTCTTCTAATGTTCCAATCTCTCATTTCCTTGAATCACTCTCTAGTAATCTTGCTTCATATTCTCATAGATACATTTGAAGACCTTGCCAATAAAAATGTCCGCACCCCTCTAGATCCTTAATTTCATTAATTTCAACTTTGGGCCACCATTTTCTATCATAACTCACTGCCCTGAGTACCCTAAACCCCAGACCTATAACCCATTGGTGGTACAAATTTTTCATTGTCCTTCACTCCATGAATGGCCTTTGCCTAGTTTAAACTCCATGGTCATTTGCATAACCTCTCTCTTGTACACCATTAACTTTCTTATTCTATTCTTGCTGCTACTACTCATTGTTCAAAACCAGAATACTATCTAAATCCATTCTTTACCCCATGGCTAAAGAAGCACATAATCTCAATTACTTGGTCTCACTTCACTTCACAAACAGGAACCTCAGTAGGGCCCCTGGGGCTACCCAGTCATCACACTTTGTGGTCTCTGAATCTTTCTCCTCCCTCCCCTTCTTTCACCTTTGTGGGTTTTCCCTTTAAATCTCCAACCTCTTTTCCCTATTTTATTCTCATATTTGATCTTGCTTCTTCCATCTCTGAGAAAATTTAAGCAATTGGGAAAAAATATTTTTATATATAGACTCCAACCAATATATCTTCCCACACATCAGCACCTGCCTTCCTGTATGCTGCTTTCCCACCTGTTACCATAGATATTAACTAACCTCTCCATTTATGTACTAGGTCCCCTTCCCTCTTAGCTATTTAAAGATGTTATTCCAGCAATTCTCATCCCTCGGTCCTATATCATTGGCCCTGTTGTCCACCTTTCTACTGGATCATTCCTTTAGCATACAAGTATTCTAGTATTTTTGTAGTCTTAAAAATTCATATAATAAATCCTGACCCTACTTCTTCTGGAATCCGATCTCCCATTTGCTTTCCTTTGCAGCAAAGCTCCTTGAGCATTGTTTGTATTGTACTAACTGTTTCTCTATTTAATCATTCTCTTAAATCYATTAAAATCCAGCATTTGCTTCTACTATGATTTCTCTGGTCAAGGACAACTGTGACCTCTATATTGCTAGATCCAGCAGACAATTCTTGACATTCCTACTTGATCTATCTGCAGTATTTGAGACAGATGACTCTTTCTCCTTGACTATTTTCTTTTCGATTTCAGAACAAGTTTTCCTCCTGTCTCCCCATCACCTCTTAGTCTCCATTCCTCATTCTTCTATTTTTTTTTTTCTGGAAACTTTTAACGTTAGAGGACTTCAGGGTTTAGTTCTTGATCTCTTCTCTTTTTCAAAAAACATGTCATTCTCTTGGTGATATTATTCAGGTTCCTGGCATTAAGATAGTATTTTTGGAACAGTCAGCTTTATATCTCCACTTAAACTTTCTTTTCCACACTCCATACTGTATCATATTGTGTACTCAATACTCTGTTAACTGGCTAGCCAGTTTTGGCTGCCCACGAGCAGAAGTGGTGGTTGACAATTTATAGAAACGAAAGCCATGTGATAGACATATGTAGATTTAGCTATGTTGTGCTAGTCAGAAAAGTCAGCTTGTTTGGTATCGAGCTGGACAGGGGTAGGTTCTACTTTTAGAATGAGGACATTCAGGAGCTCTATGTTTTACCTCTACTTTGCTGACTAGTAGGCGTCTTCACATTTGACCTCATGTCCAAAATTAAACTCCCAGTTGTCCTCAACCACTTCAAGTGGGTTCTGCTTGTAGCTTTCCCATTTCAGTGGATAATCATCCCATSATACCAGTTTACTCAGGCTATGACATATGGATTATTTCTTGATTCCTCTTTATTTGTTCCTACTCACAGCTAATCAATCAGAAAATCCTGTTGGCTCTTACTTCAAAATACATCTGGAATCCAGACATTTCTCATCACCTCCACTGATTCTGTTCTCACCTGAGCTGACATCAATTCCTACCTGGCTTCCCTGTTTCCCCCACAGTCCCCAACTGCAGGTTCTGTCATTCTCAGAAACCACCAAAAGCTCTACATTTTACTCAGGGTGAAAGATAAAGTCCTGATAGAAGTGTTTTTATTAATGCTTCTCAAACTACCTAGGTGAAGGAGTGGTTTATTATTTTCTAATACATCGTAGTTCCCAGGATAAATCCATCGATCACATGTTTGCTAGATAATTTCAGACATTATTAGACAAGTTTTATAGGCTTACTCTAAATTTCTGTACTTAATTGTCAATAAACCCACAACCAAGAGTCTGCAGACTGGCACTGGTCCTCTAGTGGCCACACTTTGATTATCACTGCTCTACATGATGAATCAATCCACTCCTTACTTCTGCCCCTACCTCTCTGTCCTCATCTTCTACCACTCTCCTGGTCTCTTTGAATGTAGCAGGGAATGTCATGTCTCAGAGCCTTTAGACCTGCTGTTTCCTCTTTCTGGAACTTTCTTTTCTTGCTTGGTGCTGAGGATCTAACCTAGGGCCTTGCACATGCTAGGCAAGTACTCTACCACTGAGCTACATACTCTTAGTCCTTGAACATTCTTCCTTTATACTTGAGGGGCTTGGCTACCTCTCCTTTGCTTCCTCAAGTCTTTTCTCAGATCTTGCCTCTGAGACACACTATTCAAAATCACAAATTCCAACCCCACTTTTCAAGCATTCTAGAGCTCCCTTAAGTTGGTCCACTTTTTCCTTTTTCATAGCACTTGACAATGGTGTTTATCCTTTAGTTTCTGTATCCAACACTTTACTAGAACATACATTCCATGAGAACAGGAGTTTTTATTTTGTTCTCTTACATCTCCCCAAATCTAGAAGAGTTTCTGGTATAAAAGGAGGTGATCATCAGTAAACATTTTTGAATGTTGAATGAACACATTTCTAACTAATGTGCTTACCTTTACACCTGGAAATCCTTCTAGTCCTGGCAACCCCATTGCACCAGGCTCTCCCTGTTAAACACAAACATAATGCAGGAGCAATGATCAGCAGGTTTTAAAGCKCTGGTTTCAAAAACAAAAATCTTTTTTGCTTACCCTCTCTAATGCTGCCTAACCCCCTCAACACTGATGTGAAATTTAGCAAGTAAATGGCTTGCTCTATCTAAAGCAATGTATTGTTGTATTTTGTGTCCAAAAATAGTTTGAGAATAAAAGCTATTCTCCAGAGAGGTTTGAGTTTATTTTGATTATTTCTCTGTCTAGAGGGATTTATTCTAATTAGATTCTTAGTCAGAATAACTCTAATTTCAATAAGAATTAGAATGAAAAGTTGGACTTCAATAACGTTTGCCAATTTGAGGTGCTGGGGCTGATGGATTGCCTGAGAATAAAACTTTTTAAGAGTGGATGAAGATGAAGCTCTCAAAGCAGTTTGTCATTCTTAGTATTCTCTGAAGCTGGACATGTGAATGCTTAAGATGATGGCCCCAGGAGCAGCCTCTCCAATGATTTTAAAAGTCACTGCTGAAATCAATGTGTCATTGAAAGGGGATGGGTAAGCATTTTCCACAAACACACAAAACCTTTTACTTGTTCTAGTGTACTGACCCAGGTTAACTGGAACCTGTAGGCCCTTGAAACATTTGGGAAAGCTGTGGTTAATTTTTAAAATGTCTGTTAGTGCATTATAATTATGCATAATGCATAATCGCACATACATGGGACATAATTTGCTCCACTTCAGCCCTCATTGCTTCTACTTTCTATCCCTTCCTCCCCCACCCTTTCTATTTCCTCTATTCTACTGGTTTTCCTTCTATTTATTTATAGTGTTTTTAAAAATTAGTGCTTTAATAGATGTACATAAAGGTGAAATTCACAGTATATTCATGTGTACAGAGCATAATTTAGTCAGATTCATTTCACCATTCCTCCCTTTTTCCATCCCTCCTTCCTCCCCTTCAATACTCTTCCTCTATTTCTCTGATCTCCCTTCTATTTTCATGGGATCCTCCCACTGCTTCCCCCCTTGACTTTGAGTCTGGCTTATTTCACTTAGTGTAATGTTTCCTGGTTCCATCCATTTATCAACTATGATTGATTTTGAAATATTGGGACTAAATATTGGGGCTTTTTAATTGAGGTAATTTGGGGGAGCTGTTTGACTTCTTGTTAATAAATTAATGTTAACTGCAATTATATTTTAGGACCCTGGATGCTTTAAACATAATCACATGGAAAAGCAAGCTACCAAATTTTATTCTCTGTAAAAGTATTTTTGTACACATAGTTCTAATCTTCAAAAGTATTACCAAGGCTCTAACTTCCATTATTATGATATTATACTTAATCCAGAATACTAAATAAGTGAGCATAGCTTGGTACTTTTTGTGCTTCAGAAATCCTTTTAAATGCTCACTGATATGTAACCTGTCAATCAGAAAAATAGATTAAGAAGATGCTCAGATTCTATTCTGTATAAACCTCTATAAAGAAAGCCTTGGGTTATTGACAAATGAAATACACTCTTTGATTCTCTTTGTTTACATTCTCTACAGTCCTTTGATCACTTTTTTTCTTTTATCAATTGAACACTGAAGGAATGAAATGGTTTGCCTCAGAAGACAAATTCAATTAAAGGTAATTTTCCTTCGTAAGGGCTTACTGAGCCAATTAGAAATAGTGGTGCAGATATATCATCATGGGACTTACAGGAGCCTGAAAGAGTACATTTTCACCTGCCCATCTCAAGAGGGCAATTTTCTATCTCTGACCTATAATTTTCCTGCTACTGGCTTATGTGAGGTATTATTTCTCCATCCAGGGCAAATGGTAGGAGATTGCAAGAGCAGCAAAGTGAGGCTGATACAGGCCCTGAAAGGGGAATCTGGTCCCCACCCTCCCCCAGGATAAGCCTGAATATTTACACAGCATTTATTTAAGTTTGTGGTTCTATATTTGTTTTGTGCTTTATGCAATTCACATCTCTAAAAGCAGGAAATTAGTTTTTATTCATTACCTTTTGTTTCAACTAAGAAACTCAAAAACTAGTCTCTTCAAATTCTACTCAAATACATCTTCATTTCTGTGCCAGCCACATTGTAATGCAAGCAAATTATAACTTATCCTTTATTATAACATCTAAACTTTCTCACCTTATTCTGCAATTAATGCAAGAAACTTGAAAGAATGCTCCAGAAAAATCAGCAAGAAGTCTAAGTGCACCTATCTTTCTCAAAGACACTGTTCTGTGTGTGAGTATGAAAGGTAAAGACTAGAAGGAAACTTTCATCAACATGATGAAAGATAATTCAAAAGGGAATGAATGAGGATCTGGGTTTGTGGCTCAGTGGTGTAACGCTTGCCTCACATACATGAGGTGCTTGGTTCAATCCTCAGCACCACATAAAAATAAATAAATAAAATAAAGGAATTGTGTCCAACTACAACTAAAAATTTTTTTTAAAAAAATGAATGAAATATTTGGTTAAAAAAAAAACAAAGTTACAAATGAAGGCAGCATGAATAGCCAAACAAAAGAAACTTCTACATTACAAATTTGGGGTACAGAATATACTAATTAGTTGAAATAATGCTTTCAGAGGAAATAAGTTGGTTTTCAATTTATATTGCCTAATAATGAAATATAAGCTTTTTAATGCATCTCCTTTGAAAATATATTTAGATCTACAAAAATTATTTTATTGCTTGTTCTTTGCTGATTTAAAATTCACAGCTTTATCAAATTGTGCTAAAAATAACAAGGCTTTAGATTTTTTTGACTTGAAAATGGCTTGGAAGTTTATTTCAGGTTTAGGTACATTAGAGTTTCAAGTTTATACCCAAAGGTTAAAAGGATATACAAATGCAACATGAAGGATGGAACATATGCTTGAAAAGGACATGACAAGAAAAAAATGCCAAGGATTAAAGGGAATCTAATTGAATTTGGCAGGACTTTTACAGTGAGACTTCATGGTTGAGAAAGATGCTGAGAACAATTATCATCCTTTGGGTGGCTGGAGGACAAGATCTCCTTCCTTGCTGAGTGTTAACCTCCTGATCTGTTCCACCTAATAAGTGGGTTTATGACAGCATACATTTTCTGCAGAATAATTGCCTAAGACAGTCAAAACAAACAGCCCCCCCCCCAATATTTTTTTTTTTTTTTGGTTGGGGAGATGTCAGATGTATTAAGGAATTTCTCTTCAGTRCGTATTTCTATAACTTACTTAAACTGAATCAATCATCAAAAGAGGGCTATTAGAAGAAAATGTTCCATTTATCAAGAGCTTTATATGTGTCTAAATCACCGGATGATTTTTAAAACACACTGATGGAAAGAGATGAACCTCAAGGGCAGTGACAACATCTGGACTAATGCATCTTAAAAAAAAAAAAAAAAGACATGCTGGCGTTTCTTCTTGTTGCCTCTGACATGTTAATTGATGAATATGTTAGAAGACAGGCCATTTTTGCTTGATGCACTTCTGTCAAATGTTAACAAAAACCTCTTTTCTAAGTGACACAAAACATGGAAACATACATACCGCTGGGCCAGGATCGCCTTTTGGGCCCTACAAGAAAAACATAGAAAGTTATTTAATAATATTCTGTAATTTTATTTCAGTCATYAAACATTTTGGCCCAATTTGTTTTTAATACATGTAAGGATATTTGCAAAAAATTTTACTTTTGCTACAGATTGGATTTGAAAGATAAAGCAACTTGATGGGACTCCTGTGAAAATTATTGCTTGGACGTTTGGTTTTTAGATTTCCAATGAAAAACAATACAATTATGCTACATGATAGTTTTTGTTATTTTGGCCATGTAAATTTTTTCAATTTTATAGTAGTTGGCTTCACTTATTTCTTCCCAATGTAAAAACTGGTCATATTGTAACATGCATATTGGTCTGTTTCTAATATGGCAGTTCGGCTAAAATGTGCTAGATGATAAATGGCTATACTTACAGGGGGACCAGGTGGCCCTGGATAACTAGGAACATTCACACCACCCTTTAGGAAAAAAAATAAAGAATTTATAGCAACCTGTAACTAAAAAATGATTTAAAAATAATTCCATAGGTAAATACCTGGATTTTATATAAACTGCTCATGCCATTTCCTTCATTGAATGGTACACCCTTTGGAAAGAAATGGAAAACAGGATTACTTTAACCCTTAGCAATTCTACATCTTATGATTTTACCAAATGGTACTATCCCTACTCTATTTTTTAGTTTAAAAATTTTTCCTATTTTAGTGAGTGAGTTTAGTATTATGAGTAAAATACAATGTTTTCACTTTGGCTTTCCTAAAGCAAATGTAGGGAAAGCAATGAAAAGGAGTGAGAGCTACACCTGGAGCACAGACGCTTTCAGTTGGGGTTTGAATAATGTTCATGTTTGACAGATGAGACACTAATGCATTCAGAGGAAAATATTATTTGCTCATTAAAATTCAGTTTCTGAATTGCCAATTTACACTAACTGTTTACAGCCTGCTGACCTGCAGGCTATAATTCGGTAGCACTGATGAAGATGTGAATAGGGAACAATTTGGCTACTGGAAAGTAGTTTTTTTCCAGTCTCTTCATACCAAATAGAAAATTAAGGTAAATGGGAAGATGTTATTCACAAGCCTGTGTGGATGTTTCTATAAACATATTCTTTAGAACTATGGGTTAGAGGAACTGACCCCCAAAATTGATGAGATTATAAATTCCCTAAGTCATCAATACTTAGAGAACTTATTCTGTTTCGAAAAATCACACAATTCAGCATTTAGAAAAATTTTGCATTTGAAAATTTCAGGATCTTTTACCCTTTTAAAAAGTTTTCATAGGATCAATAATCAACATTTTTGCAATTTTTCTCATTTCATTGTTTTTGAATAATGGTGGGCAAGGATGCTTGGTGAATACAATTTGCATGCATCTTCAAAGCAATAGTGGTAGAAGAAAATTCTCCATCTATTTTTATTTTCTTATTTATTTGACAACTGTTGAATGTATGCTGTACTTGAGAATGCCATGTCCTGAAGAGATTGAGGCTACTGAGATTTCCAAAGGAAGTTTCCCAGATAAACTGAATCTGTCTTGAAAGAAAATTCAGAGTGAAGAGTAAGACTTCTTAAGCCCATTATAAAATCATGAGTCCCTTTCATGAGCTCATGTTTAGAATGGGGAAGAGGACCTGTTCTTCCACTGAGGGAGTATATTTTAGAATTTGAACTCCAAACATTCTTGCTTCTTTGTCAAGGGAAGGTATAACAAAGATGAACAGGTTGTTAAAAACAGTGCCAATCTCATGTATGCATAGCATAAAAACTGCACAAAAACTAACATATCCTTGTTTCAGAAAGTCAGTCTGATTCTGTGCTTTCTCTGGATGTTTGCTGCTTAAATTATTCCTATGAGGAAGGGTGGAAAAGAACATTCTGCCTGAACCTCGGCTCTGCTGCGATTTGAGCATGGACCCACACGAGGGCAGACTTGCCATGGTGAGAGAGGCGCCTCTCCTCTCCACGGGCACCCTGACAGCCTTAACATCTGTCTCAATCACCAGCATCAAAATGTGGATGGTTCTTGTACATTTATGTTCACCAGGAGCTATAGAAATAGAAATTCCCTACATCTCAGACAACATGGGTGGGGATGAACACATATAGCATAATTTTTTCTTTTTCTTTTTTTTTTTTTTTTTTTGGTATACCAACTTGCATCACAAGAAGGGATCTCTTTTTTTAAATCCCCTTTATTTTCTGTGAACAAGGATCAATGAGGTAAAATGACTCTCTCCTGGTTTCTCAGGAGGGAACTGCAGAGGGAGGGTATATGCTCTGGTTCCCTAAATCCAAGGTTGGAAGACTCATGGTATACAAATCTGAGCACTGCACATTAGGGCTGAGCCAAAGGCGGGACAAACTGGGTCCCCAATGCTACACTGGCTATCATTTATATGTATATATAAAACACAGAAGACTTTATCTTTGAGAGCATCTATATGTCTGACCTCTGATTGATAAGTCACAAGTAAACACATGGATGTTAAGTTTTAAACCTGAAACAACTCACAGGTGGTCCAGGTGGTCCAGGCTTCCCAGGGGGTCCCTCACTGCCCTGCAAGGGATACACAGATGAATATCAACAGCTTAGACATTCTTACCCCAGTTTATAAACCAAACTGCTTTCTCAGAGAGCCATCATCTGAAATCAATAGGACTTGTCACTTTGTTTCAGCTTTACAGYTTACTCAGTTTGGTTTCTCCTTAAACCAGGAAAAATTCATTCTTACACCACACCCAGCCAGATACTCACCATGAAACAAGACAAACCATCTGATCCTGCCCTTGGTTTCCAGGGAAGCTGGGGGAAATCTCTCCTCCCTTGTGCACAGGAGCACAGCAAGGTTCCTATGGCTCTGAGATTGTGGCTTGCTGGATTAGCCCTCATTTTGAGCCTTACCTCTACCACCTGCATCTTTTGGAAGCCAGAGGCACCATCTACATAATTTATACAAATTAGAAAATCATAACCCTTGTTGTGCCTGCAGGAAAAGGAACTTCTTCCATTTCCTAGGTTCATATCAAACTTTATAACCAAGTCAGATGTGTCTTACTGAACAGAAGTGATGGTGGTTTAACACTGTTTAGGGAAATGGTCCATACAACTTGAACAGACTCCTACAAGAGAAGTTCAACTGAAAATGAAATTTGAAAAAAMCGAATTCAAGTTGAAACTTGGATTTCACTTTTGATACAATGGAGTACTTATTGGTCCATAGTAAGCAGTTATTGTCTCTTTGGTCTTTAACCAATTGTTCCTATAACTGCACATTGGTTTTAGAATAGCGGCCTCATAAAATCTTTTAAATCCTTCTATTTCAAGGGAAAGGGTAAGAAATAATTAAAAATGAAACCAGAGCATAAAATATAAAGCCCAGGAATTTGGGAGATTTTAGTTCATTTTCAAAATTTGATTTCTTTACCCATTTTCTAATGTCAAAAGAATCACAAAATTTGTATGCTTATCAATAAGTTTTTGTATCTGCCTGAGAATGTGTGAAAAAGAACAAGCGTATATTTTCCCAAACTGCTTTGATGGTGGCTCTTTCCCTAAGATATGTCACATTAGGCTGACTGCTGGCTGTGTTCTTTGGAGAATTACGTCATAGTTCTCACAGGTCAACAAGGAAAAATATGTGCCTATTGAAAAGACTTTTCCCTSTCGGACACAATCAAAAGTCATATTTTCATTCATTCTTGTGCCCCTAAGCCCAACTCAGAGTGGAATTCCCATTAACTTCAAAGGCAAGTCTATGACTGAATAATTTCCACAGAGAACAGAGAAAAAAGGCTGATGGCATTGGGCAAGCTGCTCGTGATATTACAGAAAAAAAGTGCTGAGGCTAGGATAAGCACATTGTTCCCTTTCACTGGAATTCTTTTGCTCYTTGATGCCATTATATTTTATTTTGCTTAGGGATCTAAGTAGGTGGAAGACACTTATTTCCCCAGTCTGAATAGGTAGYATTATTTCACTCATTTGCTGATCTAGACCAACACTGTAGGGCCAATTTAGATCCTAAACCAGGTAAACCTGAGAAGTCTTCCTGTGTGGGATTCCTCTATTGCTAGTCTTCCCTTCTGACCACAGCAACACATTTGCCCAATTACTGGCCTTTCCAGGAAAGTTCCTTAGAGAGCTTCTCCTGTGATCTTCTAGGGCCATAACTTCCAGACTCTCTCATCAAGGCCTTTGGTTTTTGGAATTTTTGTACTGATAGCCATCCAGGTGTCTGGAGTCTTGGTCCTGATAGAGCCTGAATGTTTATGTGCCCCCAAAACTTATAGAATGAATCTTCAGGGTAATGTATTAGGAGGCGGAGACTCTGGGGGTGATAAGGTTACAAGCATGGAACCCTCCTTGAATAGGATTCATAACTTTCTGAAAGAAGCCCAGGAGAACTCAGTTACTCTTGAACTATGTGAGGACACAGCTGGAAGGTGCCATCCATATAAGAAAACAAATCCTACTAGCCACAAGATCTGCCAGTACCTTGGTTTCAGTTTTTAGCTTCTGAAACTGAGAAATAGATGTTGTTTATGAACTACCCAAATTATAGTATTTTGTTATAGAAACCTGGATCAACTGTTACTGGAACTCCCCCGTACAAACAACCTCATCTATTCCCTGGGTCTCTGTATCCAGCTTGGACTTTTCCATATGGCACCCATGYTCTATTTATCTTTTCTCCTGGGAACATCTCTCTTGTATTCAGACCACTTTTTAGACTGATGTTCTTCCAAGTCCATTATAAGAATAGCCACTCCCCTTCATCAATTCTTCTCTGGTTTTTATGGCTCTCTCAATAAACTGTCTTATCTTGCCCTAATCCCAATCTGAATGGTAAGTAAGGCTTTTCCTCCATACCTTGTCACCCTTTGCTCCCATGGGACCAGGATGTCCAGTTCTTCCCACTAACCCCTGTAAAACAGAAAACTAAGTTTGTTACAGAAACAACTAAATGGCCAAAAGGTATTGGAAGTTGGTTGCTAAAAYTTACACATTTTGAAGGTCATTTGACCCTAATTAAATCAGTTCTACAAGCTTATATTTCTTCAGGCTGATAGAGCAGCTGTATCCCGCTGATAAGCCCTTGGAAGGGTAAAATTTGTATTTGTGGTTGCTTTTTCACCTTGGCCAACCACATTTAATGACCTTAATTGGAACCTTTTGATACATTTAAGAATCTAGTCTTGCTGTTTAAATGGCAATTTACATAATGTTATGCCTTTCTAAATGAGCTATCATTTTGGTAGTGATCAACATTTTAAATAATCCAAGAGAGGCAAGAATTAACAATGTGCATATAGAGTTATGTGATCTGCATTTTACCAGTAAAAAAGTAAAATTTAATTTTAATTGGGAATAGAATGAGCTATGATTTTCATGGTTTCTCTCATAACTCTTTTTCATAACTTTTTATTTCACTAAAACTTAAAGTCAGGTTTGTTCTACATACTTTGGTGAAGGCATAAATGATTGAATTGTGGCAAACCTGTGATTCAAAACATTAAATTAATAAATATGATGACATTCCTAGTTTTGTGGTCAAGATTCTAACTGTAAAGGAACTCTAAGAAAGGAAGAGAGAGAAGTTGACACATGAACTGGGTAGTTAGATTTAACAAATTAAAATACATTATTTGTGACAAACTAAAAGTTTTATTTCTCTGAAATTCAAATGAAACTGTGTGTCCTGTCTTTAATCTGGCAACTCTAGAACTGAAAGAGAGAAGTAGAAGAGTATGAGGTTGGGTTTGGTAGGTGGGAAGAGATTCTGCTCTAAGGAAGTAGGGGCCCATAGCACAATAATCATGTTTGTGTTTGAGAGGCAGTGAAAATCCTGACTACCACAGAGGATTTGTAAATTCACATAAAGGTATAAAAATAAAACTGATAAATCCTTAGCCCATATTTTCTTTTAGATGTTAATTCTCAGATATGTTGCCCTCTGAATGTCTCTTCTCAAGGTTAGTGCCAAAAAATAACTAAAAAATAGAATGTTCTTTTATATCACATTTCTATTGCAAACAGAAGCTTAATCTCAGCCTGCTTTCTGGTCTGGTAGAGTTCTGATGACAATTCTCCAGGATGCTGACCAGCCTTAAGAAATACTAAATGAAAATCTGAGATATTGGATAATTCTACCTTTCTAGGCAATGACTGGACAATCTACATGCAAGCACTGAAAACAAGAAACAATGAGAAATACTAATGCACTGAAAACAAGAAACAATGAGAAATACTAATTCATCTTGTATCATTTCAACAGGTATGAGCTATGAGTAGAAAAAATTTTAGCAAGTACTTACAGGGGGTCCAGTAGGGCCCATAGCACCTGGAATGCCTGGAATTCCTTGAAGACCCTAAAAGAGATGATTTCTACCATAAAATCTATTATAGGGAACAAAGCATTTTAGTTAACCAAATGTTTTTATTATTGAAAATTAAACAGGAACCATGGTAATATTCTGTATGAATATTAATTTTCAAAGAGTAAAGATGGTGGGCTAAGATGCTAGGACATGGAATTTGTGACAGACATACTTTTACCTATGCAGTGATTCATCAAGCTTTTTTGATCTTACAGAGCTAGCCCATTAGCAGTAGCATCACTGAGAATATCATACTATTACAGCATGGAAATACAAATTTCAGATTGGCAGAACACCATCAGGGAAATATATGATTGCACTAAAGTTTCATTCAACTAGTGGAAAATTGAATATGTTTTATGATATATTTACTTTAGCTGGTCATTTCATTATAAGAAAAAATATGGTTTATTGGTGAATTCAAATTTGAAATCCTTTTGTGGTTTAAGCATTAAAAAACCCCTCCCCTCCTTGGGTTTATAGTTATACTAGATAGAATTTTAAATGCTGATACATTTATACATCAAAGGAGAATTTGGAACTTATATAAGTTATTATATAAGAATTGGTGGGCTGGGGATGTGGCTCAAGCGGTAGCGTGCTCGCCTGGCATGCGTGCGGCCCGGGTTCGATCCTCAACACCACATACAAACAAAGATGTTGTGTCCGCCAAGAACTAAAATAAATAAATAAATAAATAAATATTTAAAAAAAAAAAAGAATTGGTAACTTCTATAATAAATTAATTTTGTCCCTTCAATGTACCAACAGAATGAGTTAAGCAAATAACATAAAATCTGTACCATGAAACATTTTAAAACTATCAAAATCATGATTTAGAAAGCTATTGGATAACATGGAAAATATTACATAGTGTAGGATCTAAATTTTTAAACAATTATAAATGTATTTCCTAAAAGAAGGGGTTGATGAACAAATTTTTATTATCATGGCAAATAGATAAGTGTCTTATCTGGAAACTTCAGGGTTAGGCATGTTTCAGAATTTTGGATTTTCAGTCTTCTTGTAAAGGTAACACAGCACACATTGAGTATTATGTGCACTCCCAGTGGTGCCTGTGGCATTGCTTTCTATTAAAAACAAAAATATTTCTGTAGTAAATGTGATATTCTGAGAGTGGGAAAAATAGATCAGCTCCATGTGACTTCAGGTCAGAGTTCATGCCAGATGAATTTGCTRTAGACTTTGGGAAAATTTCTGAGGTTTGCAGAGGCTTTTAGGTTTGGATAAGAAACTGCAAACCATAATATTACTGTCAGCAGTCTTTCCTGAGAAGTGGGAATACAGATAACTTTGATCTTTTTAATACTTCGGTRTATTTCCCAAATTTCCTGTAACTTGGATCACTTCACTTCTATAATCAGAAAAAGATTTTAAATGTCTTTTTGTTATTTCAGATGCACTTGTGATCTGTTAAGTTCTAGTCTGAAGAGTTAGGGGTGTAGCTCAGTGGTAAGCACTTGCCTCCCATGTACAATGCCCAGGGCTCCAATCCTAACACCAAAGAAAAGCTCAACTTCAAGACTGAATGTTCCACTCTTTGAAGACTTGATTTCCTTTATGGTGCAGTCTTTTTCCATTACCAAGACATTCTTTATTATAATACAATTCCTTTTATTGTTATGAAGTATTAATTTCTATATATTTTATAATTTTTAGATGAAGTGAGCATGGTAAAATCACTGCATGTTTATTTCTGAGCATTCTATAGCACTTCGAGATGCATCAGGTTCTTTGCATCAAGGGTTTCAAAGACCAATTTCAGCCAGGTCTGTCCATCCAATGCCAAATGAGGGCATGTGTTACTTCAGACTTATTCACATGATATAATATGAAAATATGTTGAAAATCTCCTTGAACCTGCTGGAATTCCTTATGAAATAACTCTTGGGCAAAATCTCATATATGCATGTGTTAAAAAATGTTGGCATATTTAGGTTCAAGATTCTACCCATCTCCTCGGCAATGCTGYATGTATAAAGGTGGACTCACACACGTAAGTGTGGTATACTGGCTCTTTTTAACTTTATCATTTTAAAAATGAGTTTATACATTTACTAATGGAAAGGAAAATTTTTCCTTTGGGAATGGCACTTTTAAATGACTCAAAATTATTTTTGCATGTTGTACTATAAATTGCTTTATCTCAAAATACCTACATTCCTACATTTCAATAAAATTATGTGTACATATACAAGATATGAATAGATTATTTTTTGCTACTTTTAGTCTCTTAGTCTAGAGATGCTGAGTGAGATTTTAGGTAGTGTAATTTTTAAGCTTGGAACTCATTAACCTTTGATGACCACGTTAAACTTTAAAATAAACCTCCATTAAAAAAAACATTCTCAACAATCTTTCTCTAAACAAGCTGAAATTTTATAGTAAGGGTAAAAGTTACTATGGATGCAGAAAGGGCAATAAGATAATTTTAGAAGACAAGATGATTGCTGAAGAAGACAAATACATATTAAAGAGTAAAACAGTCAATTTAGCATATAATACCAAACTTAAATACAAATTAAAATTTATTGCATAGACATTCAGGGATCATTAGAGCCAAGTTATTTCTCTGCTCTGATGTTTTGATTTTGCAAGGCCTAGCTAAGTGGCTACTAAGAATATTTATTTTTCTGTTGCTTTAGTTTATGGCTGAATGGCTGACAATATTTTCTATGCCTTATTCGACAATTATTATCCTGAAATATTGTAAGAAGACTTGCATTACAAGCAAGATTTCACTTTGATGATAAGACAGGGGTCTGTGCCTATTACCATCTTATAAATTGCTATCTTGAGATATGCAATAGTCTCTGTGAAAAAAAAATGTGGAGGATAACATTATTCTTCTAAGAGTAGTAAGAAAATAGCCAATTTAAAATAGGCAACTCTTTTAAGTTCCCAAACAGATTAAATTGAAGACATTAAAACTAGAAGCCCTTAAAGGGAGGGGCTGTACCACCAGATATTTTTCACTAAGGGTAGAATAGACATTTAAGATTTTGTAAGATTAGAGATTGTGTAGTTAACACAATAGAGCCTGTTGGCCAGTTAAAACTGCATATGTTCTTGGTCAAAGTTTTATTCACTTAAATCAACAAATTGGAATTTCAGGGAGTATCTGAGTCCATGTAGAAGACAAGATTGTTTGCTTTTATTGATCTGTTGGAGACAGAAAAGATAAAAAGACTATTCCTCTCAAAGGGCCCAATTGAGTCAATAAGTTTCTTCAGGTTTATTCATATTACTCATGTGAAGAACAAGGAAGAAGAATATAGTGAACTTGCTGGAATTCCCCACATAATGAGTTTATACAAAATTTTGTGTACTCCACGTCAAAGAGCCCATGGGTGAGCTTAAGAAAGCATACCAAATTAGCAGAGGAATAATAACACTGGATTTCACTTCACCAAGAGAGCAGAGTACCTTACAGAATCAAAAATCAATTTCTAGTGAATTTTATTTATATATCCCCGATTTCCAATTATTTCTACATCTTTTTGTTATTACCTTCTCAATTACCTCTAAAGCTTACTTCTTGAATGCAGGCAGTTAAAAGCTGTTGGACTATTAAAATCCATTATTATGCTTATACTTTAGTGAAACCTTCTATGGAACTTGAGGAAGCAAAAGCTCGTTAACTTTTACTTATTTTGAAAACAAAATGCCTTTAATGTTTTATTTATAGATAAAAAATTAATGTTATATTTCTTATTCTTTAATTTTTAACTTGGGGAAAAAGAAACCCAAACCAAGCCTCAAAGTTTTCTAGAAAAGAATCAATTTTAATTAAAAACAATAATACATGAGGATAATTTGTGAAATATGACTCCAACTAAAAAATAGATCTACTTTATACCATTATAATTTTCTGCACTAACATCAAGGTTAATATATGCCAGATGGCTTACTTACTTTCATTAAGAACTATTAGCATCAAAACTGTTTAAACTAACAACAATTCATCATTCTAATTGGTTTTTCTAAGAGTTAATGTGAATTATGCAGGACAAGAATGATATCCTGAGTATCACTGTGGCTTAGAGTCAGAAAATTATATCATTATCTCAAAAGCACATTTGAGTTGGATCTTTAGTCCAGGGAGTGAGCAGCTGATCTAAACTAGTCTACTCAGATCCTTTTGATAGTTTATTTTCTCCAAGATTATGGATATTGAGTAGCGACACAAGCAAACCAAGATCATTAAAGCTGAATCATGTTGTGGGAGTGTTCCAGGGAAGCTTTTTTGAGTTTTGGAGCTTCCCTTATTCCTAGGCTGGTGCTTCTATTATTCCTTCAATCCTTTTAGCTACCCTGGTTTCCTTTTAGTAAGTTCCCTCTTCCTGTTCCCTTTATTCTTATTGTGAGAGAGCTAGAATTGTCATCTGCCACATGAAAACAGAAAAACCATAGCTGACATATTAACTTTGTGTCCTGACTCAAAACCTGTACCACTGGTAATAAAGATGAACACATAATTGTTTTAAATGAAAGTTTTACCATTTATAAAGACCTACCTTGTCTTTTTATTGGTTTTGGCATTAATTCTGAGCTACAGAAAAACTGATATCTTTCCTATGTTGAGTCAAGTAAAGAGAATCAGCAGTAAGGACTCTTAGAAGACTCTTACCTCTTCACCTCTCTCCCCAGGTATACCAGGGTAGCCCCGCTCTCCTTTGCTTCCCTAGAAAGACAGTAAGATCAGCTAGTGTACTCAATCATTCTGTTAGCTTTTGGAACAATTAAAAAAAAGAACTCTTATTAGGATGCTTGAGGGATGCAATTTGGACTGGGGCAGGGAATGAAATGATTGCAACATTTGCAAAGGGCTTTTACCCCACTTTTAGCCCATATTTAAAAGTAGTGTATTTTAAAATGGGGTTTTCTTTTTTTCACCCAATTGAGAGTCCCACAGAAGATAGACTTTCTTACTTTTGGTCCTTCTCTGCCTGGAATTCCTGGAGGACCCTGTGGTCCTATATCACCCTAGAGGACAGAGAAGTAAAAGAACTGAGAGAATGCACTCTGTGTGCCACAGGCTCCCTGGACACTCAGCCAGTCTTCTCACCTTCCTGGTGATGGAATCGTATTTTCCAGGCTCACCAGCACCTCCTTCATCTCCTTTGTTGCTTTTAAGCCCAGGAACATTGGCTTGGCAGTTGCCACAGAAATTCTAATAGGTATAAAGATAAGGTTACTAAGAGATTTTAAAAAGTGAGGTTGATATATAGAAGAAAGAAATTAGTTCCCCATCTCTCACCCTGCACAAAAGTCAAAGTGCATCAAAGACTTAGGAATTAGACCAGAAACTTTACAACTGCTAGAAGAAAAAAACAGGGTCAATATTCCATCATATTGGTGCAGGCACTGGCTTCCTTAAAAAGACCTATAATGCTAAAGAAATAAAACCAAGAGTCACTAAGTGGGATGCTATCAAATTAAAGAGCATCTGCACAGCAAAGGAAGTGATTTAGAGCATAAAGAGAAAGCCTACAAAATAGGGGAAAATATTTGCCAGCTACTCTGACAGAGGATAATATCCAGAATATATAAAGAACTCAAAAAAGCTTGACACTGAGAAACCAAAACCAAAAAAAAATAAATAAATAAATAAATGAACAAAAGAACTAAACAGACATTTCTCAAAATAATAAATACAAATATATGAAAAATATTCAGCATCTCTAGCAATCAGGGAAATGCAAATCTAAAAACTACACTAAGATTTCATCTCACTCTCAGTCGGAATGGTAATTATCAAGAATACAAACAACAATACATGCTGGTGAGGATGTGGGGGAAAGGTTACAGTGATGCATTTTAGTGGGACTGCAAATTAGTACAACCATTCTGGAAATCAATATGGAGATTACAAAAAAATAAAAAACTAGGAATGGAACCACCATATAATCCAGCTATTCCACTCTTTGGTATTTATCAAAAAACAAAAACAAAAAACAAAAAGGCTAAAAGCTAAAATTAGCACACTATAGAGATATAGTCACAACAATGCTTATAGCAGCACAATTTATAATAGCCAAAATTATGGAACTAGCCAACATGCCTGTCAATAGATGAATGGATTAATAAAATTTGGTACATATATATGGCATTTGCCAATAAATGGATGGAAATGGAGAATGCCATGCTAAGTGAAATAAATCAGACTCAGACAATTAAGAGTCAAATATCTTATCTCATACATGGAAGCTAGAGCAAAATAAGGGAAAAGAAGGTGTGTGAGAATCAGATATCAAAGAGACAGGGAAGATCAGTAGAGGGAGGAGATAGAGAGTGATAAGAGGTGGGAAAGGGGAGAAAATGTGGAATTAAGTTCACAAAATCGTGCTATGCGCACATATAAATATACCACGGTGAATTTCACCTTTATGTATATGTGGAAAGTACCAATCAAAATTAAACGAGCAACAGGTAGATCAGTAGAGTAGAGGGAGGAGAATGTGGGGAGAAAGGAAGGCAGGGAAAGAGGGGGAACAGGGTTGCAAATGGAGTACATCAAATTTCAGGTATGTATGGTTTTGTTAAAGAGAACCCAACTATTTTGTATAATTATAATGCTTTAATAACAAAATAAATTGAGGCTGAAGGATAGATAGGTTTGCTAGAAAACCTGACAGAAAGTAGCACACCAATTAGTACTTGTTGAAGGAATAAAGAAATATATTATGCAGTCAGGGGTTTTCAATTTAAAAAAGTGAGGTTGATTGAATTTGAAGTTATAGTTGTACTTCTGTCAGAAATAAGTGATGTAACAATTGCAAGGTCACTCTGTTTTCAGAAACTTATTTATCCAACTTGAAAAGACTGTCTTTGCAGGGAAAAAAAWTCAAAGCTTATTAGTAATATCTGAGATATTGGTGAGGGCTTATTTAAAAAATATCACTCTTGATAATATTTAAATTGAAAGTTCCAGATAAATAAGGAAAAGATTCATAAGTCAAGAACAAAGATTTGAGTTTCAACTGCTGAGCAACATGTTTAAAGAGGGAGGTGGTATTAAAGTTTGGAATAAACAACAAGATTACAGGGAACATACAACCAATGAYTTAAGTCATTAAAAAGCAAAGAAAAACCTGGGAAGAAAGGATTTCTCCTTTGGTAGACAAATTAGTTGAGAAACCTTCCACAGGACTTACTAGCATTTTATTTGTCAGTGGAGGCACTCATGTGAATAAGTCACTTGAGTGACCTGGACTTGACTCCAACGTCAAATCCAAGAGAAGACAGAAAATCTAAGTGGAATTACCTTTCTGTTGCCTTCTTTATAACCTTTAGCTGGTCTGGAAAAGCTTGCATTTATGTGTCTGAGCTAACAGGACAAACATAAGACTTATCACATAGCTAAAGGAAAAGGGTATGTGAAAAGCMCTATAAAGACTTATTTAAAAATAAATTGTTGGAATCAGAATATGAAAACCCTAAACCCAAATACATACATAGAACTTGAGTCTTTTGATTGATTCAATTCAATAAATATTTCTGATGGCTTATAATTGTGCAAATCATTGGACTAAACCCTAGGAACATAAACTAAACCATATATACACATCTATATCCCAAGTGTTTGTGTGTGTGTGTACTTATGCACACTGTCTATTCCATACAGAAATAAGGGATGAGCATAAAGGACAAGATTTTCATCTAGAGTCACTCAGAGCATCATGAAGAAATGATAATATAACCTTATTCATTTATCAGCCCTCCAATCTGTTTTACAGATAAAATATAGGAAAGTATTAGGGAAGAAAAATCGTAGCAAGATTAATTCTTTATGAGCTAGATAATAGGTAGAGATAATTTTTATTTAACAGGGTGACAGGTGTTAGGACAATGGTTGGCTTTGGAATTTTATAGCTCATTTTGTAAAATCTCATGACATAAAAAATTCAGCCTTGTAAGCTAACTGTTTATTGAGCAGTGCTGGTTTTCATCCTGGGACTGACCAGGATGATACAATGAGAAGGATTAGATTTTATAGTAGTGAGCCAGGGTGGGTAAATGCCCATCAAAGGAAAGCTGTTGTTCCAGAGGAGAGTGTAATCTCGTCAAGAGGGTTAATGAYATTGTTCCTTCCCTTTGGTTTGTCTGAGAGCTGCACACTCCATTTCCATACCCAAAAGGCTGATAAAGAAGAGAATGGAGGAATACAGATTATTTTTACTATTTTAAAGATGTTCTCCATTTTAAAAATGCCATTTAAAAACCAGGCCGAACAATTAACTCAATTTCTAGTAAAGATTTTCTTTTTAATTTTTTTTGTTGGATATTAAACCATAATTTCTTACATAACAACAGAATACCTTGAATAAGGCCCCGATGTCTCCCAAGAGAGGAAGGGCAATCTGTAGTTAAAGAGGAAAAAAAAATGTTATTAAACTGTTATGAGTTGGATCTTTTTTTTTAACATTTTATTTGTTTTAATTAGTTATACATGACAGTAGAATACATTTATGCACTTCGATATGTCATACATAGATGGGATATAATTTCTCATTTTCCTGATTGTACACATTGCAGAATCTTATTGGTCATGTAGTCACATATACACATACAGTAATAATGTCCATTTATTCTACTATCATTCCTATCCCCACATCCCCTCCCYTCATCTCCCATCACTTCCCTCTACCTAATCTAAGCTAACACTATTCTTCCCTAGTGCCCCCTGCCCTGTTGTGAATTAGTATCTGTATATTAGAGAAAACATTTGATCTTTGGTTTTGTGGGATTAACTTATTTTGCTTAGCATGATATTCTCCAACTCCAACCATTTACTGGCAAATGCCATAATTTCACTCTTACTTAAAGCTGAGTAATATTTCATTGAGTATATGTACCACATTTTCTTTATCATTATTTATCTACTAAGGGACACCTAGGTTGGTTCCATAGTCTAGCTATTGTGAACTGAGCTGTTATAAACATTGATGTGGCTGCATCACTATAGTATGCTGATTTTAAGTCCTTGGAGTATAAACCAAGGAGTGAATATCTGCGTCAAATTGTGGTTCCAATCCCAGTTTTGTGAGGAATCTCCATACTCCTTTCGATAGTTGTTGTGYCAATTTGCATCTCAYTCCTCCAGAATGACAATCATCAAGAATACAGGCAACAATAATGCTGGTGAGGATGTGGTAAAAAGGTACACTCATATATATGAGTTGGATCTTGATGTGTCTCCCAAAGGCCAGCTGATGGCACTATTGGGAGCTGGTGGTACTTTTAAGAGGTGGAATTGGTGGAAGGAAGTAAGGTTACCAAAGGTGTGCCTTTGAAGGGTATATTGGGAATTTAGCTCCTCCTCCTCCTCTCTCTCTCTGCTTCCTGGCCACCTGCAGGTGAACAGACTCCCCCATCACTTCCTCTCCTCCATGATGTTCTGCTTTGCCACAGGTCCAAAGTAACGGGCCAAATGGATATGGATTRAAACTTCTGAAACCATGAGTCCAAATAAATCTTTCCTTCTTCTCTTCAGTTGTTTATCAGGTATTTTGTCAGAGGGATGCAAAGCTAACACATACACGTGTACATAAGCACAGTACAAAGCAAGAGTATAACATAATATAGATTTATTGTTTTCAAAATGCAATGTCAGTTAAGATTTGGAGCATGGGGCTTCTAAGGTCTCACTGTCAGGATAATTGGTTCAACATTATGCTTCACTTCAAGTAACTGAACTGACACTGACAGAATGCAGAACTATTTTGAGAAATATTCACTATTCTTCTGCCATGAACATGTAAACTCATAATTGTTTTGATTCTACGAGATGTATCTCTACATTTTCAGGACATGGCAACCTTTATTATTGGTTTTAATACTATATAAAGATAAATCATTTATTACAAGGAAATCATTCCTCTGCCAAGCACATTATCAGGCTGTTAGAAACATGAAGAGTACAGGATAAGTTTGCCTTGTTCTCACAGAGGTTCAAAACAGCCTTCGTAGGCGGAAGTGATGGACAAGACAGAAACAAAGGGAACTTGGGCTATGTTTTGACCAGATGTCTTAAAATGTGCTTTCCAAGAGACACTCTATAAAACCAGGTAACGCTACAAGATTCCCACATGAGCCACACATATTCATTTGATTGTGGAGTTAAAGTAAGGTCATGCTTGCTTCTGCATTCGTATTACAAAGGAACCTAAAGCCCAAACAGTGTGGGAGGTAGAAAGGATTTGTGAGGCTTAGAACTGAGAGGCCAGATTTGGATTTTGTTACACAAAATTCTTAATACAATGTCATGTACCATATGGCCTCTCAAAGTATAACCACCGGGTCTGTGGCTATTTAAAGGGATTTCACTGTCACTCAAAGCAAGGTTTAACCTAAGAAAAAACTTTAGAACACACATTTAGTGCCTAAACCCCATTTTCCAAGGGCCTACTCAAGCCAGTTTTCATAATTTAATCTATCTCAGCATTTTAAAGCCATAGAACCAGTGAATGTGTACCATAATGTAGGTAACTTACCTGCAAACTTTCATTTAGAAAAATGAAATTCATTTAGTCAATAGCATTAGAAAGAATAGAAATTGTGTCTATATGTTTTATTTCAATTTTCCATGGAACTGAGATATTATATGCTAAGGCTCAGCCTGGGGCAAAACTGTATAGCTGAATTACACCCTTAGGAAATAAGCATTCATCACTAACACAAAAATGCTGACCCAGCTTGGATTTTTTTCCCTCTACAAAATAATGGGGATAAACAAAATCACCAAGCAGTCACTGAACATTCTAATTAGTTTGGACAGCAAAATTTGCTTGGTAGGCTGTTTGGCTTCTGGGTGCATTAATGATACATAAATCAGGAAAGTCTGTGTACATACCGGGTCACCTGGGGGACCTGGCAGTCCTGGCTTTCCATCTCTTCCCGGAGCTCCCTGAAAACAGAGGCATCATGTTCAAATCTTTGCAAGTTGGGATAGTTGCAGATTAAAACAGAGGTTGGGGAAAGGATAGGTAAAAAAGGTGCTTACATCATTTCCTGGGGTCCCTGGAGTTCCTGGTAACCCAGGGAGACCTCGAGGACCCTGGAAAGGGAAGAAAATGAAAGTAGTTATTTAGGAGAACAGTCTTTCAGTAATTTCCTCTAGAAAACAAGTTAGATTTGTTGTGCTGGATAACTTAGTTAAGTAGCATACCTGAATACCTGGCTCTCCAGTTGGTCCTTGGGAGCCCTGAGTAAAATGAGATAAATGATCAAAATTCTACCAAGAATTCCCATGAATTATCCAGCTGATACAAAAGACTAAGTACTGTAATTTGCTTAGTGGATCAACAGCATTTGCCACCAAGAACACTCTGGTAACTGCTAGCTACAACTTTGGGTGGTAGATAAACACTTTACCAAAAACCTGTTGCTTAAAACATCATGATTTTGCTCAGATCCCTGGAATGTCTCTCATTCCATCCCATGTGGCTGCACACTCAAGAGTACAGAAGCAACACATCCAAATTCCACCTGACCAGAAACTTTTTGTTCCCTTTCTGCTCACAGGGATAACTGGCCAGGGATACCTTTCTCTCTCATTCTACTTTGAGTCTTTTCTCTTTGAAGAAATGACCAGAACTAGTGTTTGGTGACAGGAATAAGAAGTAAAGCATCAGGTATTGTTTTCTACTTTTAGAAAACTGGAATTTGGAGTAACTACAATGAGGCTGAGATGATCAGAGAACATATGATACTAGTTTTATCCCTATTAAATATCCACGGACCACTGAACTAAGAATTTACAACCAAAGCCAAGCAAAGCACTAGTTTCTTAGAAGTTGATTTCAGTAACTGTTCACTGATCTTTCTTATATTTTAAAATATATATTCATATCACTGTTATTATTAAAGCCTTTTGTTCCCTTTCTGTCTATACTGTGTCCTTAGTGATTTTTTTCTTTAAACTCAATACCTCCTTAATAAGTTCATGATTTTTGTATACACATAGGTGTACACATATGGATGCATCTAGGTGTATGTGTATATGTGTTTTGTTGCTTTTACTTTGGKTTTTTTTTTATCTCAATAGTCTTTTACATTTTGTCACTATGGTTTGAACATCTCCWCCAAGGTTCACATGTTGGAAACTTAATCCCCAAATTCAATTAATGTTATTTGGAAGTGGGGCTTTGGGAGGCAATTAGGATTAGATGAAGTTATGAGTGGAGTCTCCATAATGGTATTAATAGTTTTATAAAAAGAAGGTGAAAGACCCAAGATAGATAGCTCAACTATATTATGATGCAACAAGAAGGTCCTCACCAGATGCTAGACTTCCCAGCCTCCAGAACCACAAGCTAAATAAATCTTTATTCTTTACATGTTACCCAGTCTCTGGTATTCTATTATAGCAACAGAAAATGGACTAAAACATTTCCCTAGAAAATCAAACACTAATGATATACAATATAACCTATCTCTATCTATGCTTTATTTTAATTTTTATGACAATGTCAATGTAAGGCTGTGATATTGTGATATAATAAAAATATATATTTGGTCTCTGCCCTTGGTTTCTGACAACGAGTGTCGAAAAGTCTTGCAATATCCTTAGCAATATTGTTAAAGCATTTAATCTCTGAATCTGATTTCTGTCAGAGAACTCTTAATATCTTGGAATTTCCTGACAATAGGAATGTCTTTTGTTCTATTTAGATAACTCTTTATAAATACTCTATCACTTTAAACATTAACTTCTTATTTAAAAATAAATAGTAATATTTAATAACACAATATGAGGTATTTATATCATCTTATGGACATGCATTTGTACTATCTAGTATATAACTATAAGTACAAAGGGTTAAATGATTGCTAATCCAAAATCAGTGGATCTGTAATTAGTACGAAGAAGTCAATCAGCAGTGAACGTTCTCTGTACACTTAATGACGGACCTTCAAAGCCCATCAGTCTTCTCTGGATAGTGATCATTTGTATTTTCTCCTCTGATCTTTGTTTTCTTTTCTCCTTACTGAGACTTCACATTGAATTTTGTTTCATAATAACGAATTCAACAGAGTTTCAAGAGCCCAGCTGAATTTTACTTACTGTTTTTCCGGGAATTCCTGCCCCTGGTGGGCCCATGTCACCTGGGGAGCCCTGGACACCTGGCAGTCCTCTTTCACCCTGTGAAATGAGGTGCTTCTGTTAAGACAAGGCTCAAGAAACATGGATTTTTTGGTTATATTTTGCTCATTATTAATGTTTTTAAATTATCTATAATATTTTAATACCTTTGGCCCACGTGGACCAGGTGCTCCAGGATTTCCATCTAATCCCTAAAAAAAAAAAGAGTAAATACATTTATTTTTCTAAAAAGTTTTTAAAAATCTTAGAAAAAATAGTTTTAATTGCTCTTCACTTTACTTGAATGAATCTTGTAAGAATAAGGAATTAGAAAYAAATTTCAATAGGTTACAGATTTTGTATAGTTACTTTAATATATGAGGCTCTTATGTATAAACTATCTCATATTGAAACTTATTATTATCCTCATTCTTAACTAATATAAACGGTTCAAAGTGATGCAGAAAAAAAGGCATATAAAACTAGACCACCAGTTTATGTTCTGGGAAAAGTCTGGATCACAGAGACATTTTCTGCAAATGACAACCTATGGTGACATCTGTAAAACCTCCAGAGGGAAGTATCAGACAGTTCAGTTTTAAGAGAGTGTCCAAAAAGGCTTATGCTTTAAAAGCAGTGTACTTTACTTGGATCCATAGGTCCCTACGGAATCCATGCAGAGGATTCAGGGGGTATATGAATCTTCCACATAAAAACAGTGTGTGCATGTATATTTCTTCAGAAGAGAGGCTTTGCTTGCATTGAACCTTTAAAAGGGTTACAACTGTGATCTAAAGATGTTTCTTCTTTGGTACACTTATACTTGTGCTCTCAAACTGGGAGCTCACATGTAGTCATTAATGAAGTTCCAAGAGAAACATTAGAAAAAGAGCTGGTACTTACTGGTTCCCCTTGCAGGCTTTTCCCTGGAGGACCGGCCTCACCTTTTGGACCTGGAAGCCCAGGAGGGCCTATAATCCCACCTGGATCTCCCTGAGGAAAACAAGATGAGATTCTTACTTTGTTGCTCAGGTTTGTGATGGGAACTGGGGAATCAGTAGTTTTTACTGTTTTAAATTGTCATCATAACCAGGCAAACTTCATTCACTTATCTATTCACTCCCTCAATAATATTTACTAAGTGTCTAACTCATACTAAGCACTATCCTACTTATGTCAAATACATTGAGATTTTGTAATGAGTTATGGTGCAATAAGTTTATCAGTATCATGTAACATAGACGTGTATAAATGTAGGCACAAAAGGGGTGTATCTATTCATAAGGTTCTTTGGATGATCTTTGTTCTATTTCCTAATAATGACTCAACATAAACATGTTATTTCCATGTAGCATTAATATGCTGTTTCCATGGAATTCCTGAATGATGCAGAGACTTCTTAGGTCTACACCAGAATTGGCAGTTAAGGTTGACATGAGCCTGACTCCTGGCATCTTTATCTCTAAGTTGTTTCATTTTTCACATGGCATTTCTATGGAAGAATCAGGGAAGTGGCCATGCATGCCCCAGGGGAGTCATTCACATTGTCTTCTACATTGTCTTCTAGCAAGGCTATCCCAGGTATAGTTCTACGAGCCTGTGCTGTCCTCTTACCTCCCCAGTGCCCTTAAGATCCTTGGTCTGTTCCTCCTACTTACCTTTTTAATAGAGAGTGAATAAAATGTGAGCTATACCTTTTCTCCTTTGATGCCTTGTTTTCCTGGGATACCATGTTCTCCTGGCAATCCCTAAAAAATTCAAAATTAAAGGGAAAGAACAATGAGAACATCTCTTATGATAACATTTATGTATGCAAATCGTTTTCAAGAGAGCAGTTTTAACACATTATCTACAAGGGAATGGGTTGATTTTTGGCTTGTTAGGCTACAAACATTAGTTGAAAATATGTAAATTGTTGTTTCAAGTGAATGTCCCTGGATGTAATGGAGAACTGAAATGCAAAGAGAATTGAAATATCTCAGCCATACTATTGCCAAGAAGGGGAAGAAGAATGGTGATTGGTAGCCTCACACCATGATTCAACTAGACAATAGGGTGACTAAGAAAATAAGTTTTTATTGTATTTTGGCAACAGTGGATCTTTTCTTTTGATTTTACTCTTTTCAGCTCCTGCTATTATCATTTAATCTCACTTGAGCATATTGTGACCCAGCATTTTCTCTCTTTTCCTAAGATCTTTCCACAAGGTACCTCTGTAGTGGTCTATTAACTGGTGGTAGTGGTAGGGGGTAGCAATAAAAAGCTTTTCTCTGTGAATTTAGATGTTCAAAGTACAAGCCACAATAGGAATGTTGATCAATAGGCCCCCAAATGCTCAGGCAGTGAGCTTGGTGAACAGAGAAAGGGTTCATGGGCTGTTCCCAAGATGATGGAAAAAGGAGAGATTCTTCATGTTGCCTACAGATAACTAATAGTGGTCAGTTAGTGACAGAGGATTTGTGGGCAAGATGTTTTTCCTTTTGCTTAAGTGTAGATCTTTCTAATTTTTAAGGAAAGGTATAGCTCTCAGCTCCCAAGTTGTCAGATGGCCATGAAGCTTGTTTAAGGGCCAGAAAGCTAATCTGGGGGAAGGAATGGAAAAATGACTTTTAACAGCATGAAGGTAGGTGTGTGTGTGTAGGGGTGTGTGTGTAGGTGTGTGTGTGTGTGTGTGTGTGTGTGTGTGTGTGTGTGAGAGAGAGAGAGAGAGAGAGAGAGAGAGAGAGAGAGAGAGAGAGAAAGAGACTGACTCTGACTCCACTATACTAAGGTTATAAGGCAGCCTGAAGGTCTTCCTCCAAGTGCATTACAGAAACACTTTCAGCCAAAAGACTTCCTTTTTTTGAGGGCTCTTGATAGAAAACAACAGAAGCTTTCTAAGTGTTTTCTGCAGATGGAGATTTGAATCAAAAGCCATACATATGGGAAATTCTTGCTTTCTCTCTTGGTTTTCCTTATTACTTTTGATATTTGCTGTCTCATTGACCACAGGTACACTCCTGACAAGCTTGTCCCAAATGATAATTTAGTTAAATTGAGTTTCAAAGACCAATTTGTTAGGGTAATGATCCTCCAAAGGACCTCACACGAGTGTACGAATGGCCCAGCCTTCAGGGGTGGAGATGGACTAGGTCTTTGAGAAATGTAGCAGAACTCAGTTACAGGAACAGCCATTGACATTTAAAAAACCATACCATAGTTTCAATTTCATTTCAAAATACTGAAGTATACATACAACATCTCCTGGTGGTCCTCTGGGTCCCATGGAACCTGCAGGTCCTTGTTGACCCTAAAAGAGAAGATGATATATGCTACACCTTTCCTTAAAAATTAGAAAGATTGTACTTGAATATTTGTAAAACATATTGTGAACTTTATCTGTAAAAAGAAAGACTTTCAATTATCCTACCATATGTGTATAATACTGAAGTGTGATTTGGGCTGCTAAGATAGTTTATAGATGTTTTCTTTTTTAATGGGTCTGTTTTTCATCAGTAGGGGATAAGTGGGTAACTTGCCCTACCCATTGGCTGGGAGCACATCATGCTAATCTCTCCCACACCTCTCCAAAACTATTCTTTCTTAGGATACACCTGTAGAATCACACATGGGAAACTGAAGCACTCATAGCTGTATACTTTTGGTTTAGAAATGAATCCTGACTCCTGTTCCTTTTAAGAATACAGCTCAGGGTCACGGATTTAGCTGACATTGTTTACTCTTAAAGCTTTTAAGGATGCTATGGTGAATATGCTCTGAAAAATAATTTTCAAATTCTACTGTGAACCAAAAGGCACAGTTACTATGCGTGAAATAAATGCAGCTAGTGGGGGTGGGGGTGGGAAATCACCATGGAAACAAGATCAAGTCTCTGAGAACATCTGTGAAGAAAATGAGTGGCACCCCAAAGCACCCTTTAAAATATAGAATGGCTACAAATTCCAGATTATTTCCTAATATAGCACAGCTACTTCTTATATACCTTCAGTCCTGGGTTTCCTATTGAACCAGGGGGACCAGGGTCTCCAGGTTCTCCCTAAACATGTGAGTGGGAAGGAAAGTTAAATGTTACTATAGTCTTCACCATCTTAGTAAGGTTGTGGACATAATTGGAAAATTCTAGGAGATTACCTTTATTCCCTGTGATCCTATTATTCCAGGTTCTCCCTGTAAATAAAATAATCACCATATGGGTAACATGAAAATTCAGATGGGCCAGGACATCTGACAGTTTAATTGAATTTCCATTAATTAACACACAATAAAGGGGGAATTTATGGAAGATGTGATGAAACCATGGAGGGTTCATTCTACAACAGGATCAAAACACTTAATCCTAATGAACAACAACTCTTATTTTTTTTAACAATAGTTTTATTTTCACTCCAATGCCATCTTTGAAATCCTCCTGCATTCTCTACTTCTCATTATTATGATTTGCCACCAACTAAACTCGCCTCCCTAAGAATTAACTCTTCAGATGATATGGAGGAGAATAGATGTTAGGGTGATATGTGCTGGTGATTCTGCAATCAGGTACTATCCAGGTATTTAATTTTAAAAACAGAAAAATTATGATTATACTAAGGGGGACAATACTGGCTATAATCAGTTTGCTTTCCTTATTTTTCCATGACTTATTAATTTGTTGGATTTGTATCCAATTTGTATCATTAACAGAATTTTTGAAAAAAACTATCTTCTACTTTAATTTTGTAGTTTCCCTATCTTAATTTGATGTCTTTTGTAACACTTCTGTCCCATCACTAGTAGTGGAAGGTTAGAGGAAACATATCTAACCCAAACCAAATGGTAAAGTATTATCCCATGACAGCACTTAACAAGGTTTAATATAAAGTCCAAAATCACAGAAGGAAAAGTAAAAATGCTCTGGAAGCTTATTTTATCAAATCTATTAGACTCTCAAGTAAACATAACAGAAATTGGAGAGAGAAATCAATGAAATAGAAAACCCCAGAGGGTGATAAAACATCTACTTACTCGGTCTCCCTTTTCACCTTTTACAAAGGGTTCCCCCTAGGGAGATGGGTAGAAAGCAGAATCAATTAAAAACACTTTTAGAAATAAACCCTCCAAAGCTGGGAGTGGATAGAGCCTGCAGGCCAGACTCACACCTCTACTGCACACAGTCTGCCTCTGCAGCTGAGAGGGGGCCTAGGAGAATTAATTTACAAGCTCCTCCACATTCTCAAAGGAACACCGAGTTCATCATTCTAACACTATTTAGAGAATCCCCGGTGGCTAACAAGTTGAAATGCTGCCCAGGGACAAAGCTTCCTGGTGCCTGGTGAAGAAGAGGGATCACACACATATGCAACTGGGGGCAGAAGCCTGTGACAGCCACAAGATGGCCAGGGAAGGGCATTCCTGAGAATGCTTCCAACTCGTTAGCTGTGCTTGAAACACAAAATCATTAAAAATATTTTTCCAGTTTTCATTTTTAGTATAATGAAAATAACTCAAAGGGGTTAATTAGGAGGTAAATAATGGGGTGTGGAACTGATAACAGTTCTTGGTTGAAGCATGAATAGCTTGGGGAGTGACAGAAGCTTTGGAGGCTGCCCCTTGTTAGCCAACACTCTCCCCAATCACTGAGTTGTGATTACTGCCACCCAGGTTAACCCATAGAGACACTTGTGCACACACAGGCTCCCTTACTAGTTTATGTTCTCAGAGTTACAAGTATGTGATCTCATTTTATCTTCATAGCTATGCTGTGCAAAAGAATTATTGTCCCATTTCAAGGATGGGGAAAGAGACTTCAGAAGGTCCAGTAATTTTGAGTTGTCATAGCTCCCTCTATTCCCTACATTAGTATTCATTCATTTTACTTAATGTTTCCTAGTTTATCTTGGCTATACCTCTTTGAGTGTAGAGATACAATTCATCTTGATACTCATAGCACCTCTGGTGTCTCACATCTTAGACCTTTACATTACCGGGATCCAAACACATTTATTAAATAAGTGAACTTAATGCAGATATAACAATCGTAGTTAACATTTATTGAGTTCTTATAATGTATCAAGCACTGTTCTAATCACTTTATATATATTCACATAGTTAATCCTCAGGTGTCACTAAGTGCTATTAGTAGACTCAGGTGCTACCTAAGTGCTATTAGTAGACTCATTTACAGATGAAGAAATACTGGCACAGAGAAGTTAAATAATTTCTCCAAGGTCACAGAGCTACCAAAAGATGGCTCAGGATTTAAACTCAGTCAGCCAGACTTCAGCTCCAATCGTCATTTAGTGAAGATTTAGTCTGCATCATATTATTTGAATTGAGTAAATTATTATTTTGGTTTGGATTTGGGATATTTTCCAAAGGTTCATGTGTTAAAGATTTGGTCCCCATTGTAGCAATGGTCAGAGGCAGGGCTGGAAAGTGATTGGATCATAGAGTTCTAACCTCATCAAGGGATCAATCCATTGATGGGTGCCTAGCTGAACAGACGACTGGGAAGTGGTGGAAACTGCAGGAGGTGGAACTTTGATGAAGAGAGGGTCTTTGGGGGTGTGCCTTTGGAGAAAAATGTAAGAACCATTTTGGGAGATATTACTACTCTCAAAAGTTTTCTTAGGAGCAAGATGTGGTAGCACATGCCCATAATCCCAGCCCCTCAGGAAGCTAAGGCAGAAAGCTTACAAGTCTAAGGCCAACCTGGGCAATTTGGCACAACCCTGTCCCAAAGTTAAAAAAAAAAAAAAAGCTGGTGGTGGTAGGGTGGCTATCTAGGTGCTTAGAGGTAGAGTGCCTGTGGGTTCAACCTGGATTCAATCCCCAGTGCTCAGGGATTGCTATTTTGATTTTTAACTAATCACTCTTTGGAGATAAGCAAGTACTTAATGAGCCTTTCATCTTGTGTCTTGTGTGTTTGGGGCTAAGAGTTCACCTTCTCCCATGTTCCCCAGCTCCCTTGCAGTTTCATGAAGCCATGTAGCTAATTCTAGCAACGAAATGTAACCAAAATGACATGTATCATTAACAAGGCAGTGAGAACCCATTTAATAATCCTCCAGATGCACTTCCCCAGCAATGGTGACTAAGAAGATTGTATGTGACAGAAGACAGAGCTATATGATGGTATAGCCTGGTAACTGAACACAGAGTGAAGCATAACATCTACCCCTCCTACTGAACCATTTTAGGCAGGAGCAATAGAGAACTTTCCTTGCACTAAAGTCACAGAAATTTCAGGATTAATTTGTTACTTAGCATAACCAAGACTACACTGACTAATAAACCACACATCTACCTAACATAATGAAATCTTCTATTATTGGTTAATTTCTATACATTCACATGGCTTTATTTATATTCTTGCTTTTTGGATTTCATTCTAAAAATCAAGTTAATTTTTAAAGATTTGACATAAAGTTGATTAGATATGATCAAGGAGTCACACTGCTTATGTCAGTGCTTGTTTATGCTCACATCCTTGCTTGTTTAGAGTCACTGTCAAGCTCAAAATCCACATTGACTAAAATAGCTTTTGAAAGAAAAAAAAACAATAAATTGGTTATGTGGAGACTTGATATTTAGTAGTCCTAGCTCCAACTACTACTATCCAGAGCAAATCACTTAAACGTTTAGAATCTCCCTTTTTCTATAAAATCATGGGTTTCAACTAGATGATCTCTTTTGCATATTTTAGCTCCAATATGTTGCACTTCTAGTCACTTTCTGAATGTCCAGTAGGAAGGGACAAATTGCCATTGACAGCTGCCATTCCAGATGAGTGGTTCAGAATTCAACTTTGGATGATGACTACTGTTCTGATTGGACCTTCTGGTTATTATGCAAAGTCAAATCCAGCTCTAATTCTGGAATAGAAAGATCGATACCACAAAGAACTAAACTGCTCTGCAGAATAATGTAAAATTTGTGGTATTTTATGTGTGGGCAAGAGAGGAAAGCAAACAAGATAAATAGAGGTGGCAGATGCCTAAGGCATTAAGAGGGAAGTGGCAAGGAGAAGAGTTAGAAGGAAAGGAGGCCTCTTCCTGGATAAGGTAGAATAAAGCAGCCCCAGTGGGGTAGGGGCTTGCCTTGAACACTAGTGATGGGGCTGAAAGCCAGAGGGAATCCCCAAAGAGGGAAAGGCCTATCACCCCAGAAACCATGAAATTCTCCAACCCTTGCTTTTCAAAGTGGGACCTTGAACCAACAGCACCACCATCATCTAGGAAATTGTGAGAGGTGTAGGTTCTTGGGCTCCACCCGACCCATTAAATTAGAACAGCAGGATTCAATCACATATTCCTGTGTGAGAAGCACTGTTTTAACTCACTGAAAATTTCTCTATTCTGCTCTATAATTCTCTGCTTTTCCAATGGAATTTTAGTCAATCTTACTGCCAGGTCCTCCTTGATACACACAGGAATTAAGAGAAAGTGAAGTCAGTATTTAGGCTTGAAGGGGAGAGAATGGTGACCTGGAGAAGCAGGTAGGAGAACTTTCAAGTGTAGAGCATCAGGAGCAAGTTGGCAGAGGGAAGGGGTGGCATCCACCAGGCTGCACTTGTGGAAGGAATATTAAAGGCTGTTAGGTCCTGTACTGCATTAGGGAGCCTTGGACTTGGCACTAAGGGCTAGCATGACCTCTGGGGTAGGATAACTATGATTCATAGGTACAGTGCTGACGTAAAGTTGCCTGGGATAAGTTACCGCTATTGCTAAAGATACCTAAATGCTGAGCTGAAGCATAGGGCAAATTGACTTCCGACCATTAAATACCTTTACTACATACTGTTCCCTTTTTTCATGTACGAATTATTAGTAACCTTTTCATTTTTTATCCCATGATCAACCAATATTCCTAATTTGCTCTGTCAAGGAAATGAGTAAAAATGATTGAAAAAGATGTGTTGCATTTTTCAAAAACCAAAGATGAAGTATAGGCTAAGCCTGATTCTGCTGATTCTTGAAGGCTCCTTTTTTTTTAATATAAATACCATAAATTTTCTTTTCTTTTCTCCTCTCCCCCTCTCCCTCCCCATCCTGTGACTAGGTTTTCTCTAATCTGTTTAGGTGGTCCTACTTGAATATAAATGATTGTTTTACTTAGGTTTTTCACTGCTGTGACTTAAGAACCCGATCAGAACAACTGTAGAGGAGGAAAAGTTTGAGTGCTCACGGTTTTCAGAGATCTCAACCCATAGACAGCAGACTCCATTCTTCAGGGCTTGAGGTGAGACTAAACATCTTGATGATCAGGAAGCAGAGACAGACTCCACTTGCCAGATACAAATATATACCCCAAAGCCATGCCCCCAATGCCCTAACTTCTCCAGCCACACCCCACCTGCCTTCAATCACCACTCAATTAATCCCTTCAGGTGATTAATTTACTGATTGGGTTAAGGATATATATACCTGGAAATGCAGAAATGACAACCCAATCATTTCCCCCTCTGAACCTTCTCTCATTGTCTCACACACGAGCTTTTGGGGGACACCTCACATCCAAACCACAATAATGATATAGTAGGTTTTGTGTTTTTGTTTTTTAATTCCCCACAGAAAGAGCTAAGTTTTAATAGAAACTGGCCACAGCAATATTGAAAAGTAGCTTGGGGAAGTCCCTTTGATCTTGAAAAAAATAACTTCAGAAGGTATACTGAGAACATTTGTTTGATCAGATAGATAAATGTTTCTAACTTTTTATATAAACTAGTATCTGTCTTTATTATTAATTTCAGCTATCATGTTAAGCTACATCAGGTCAACTTAGTGATTTTAAACCCAAGTTTAGCTCACCTACGTGTGATTTGTGGCTCTAATAATGCGGCTGTGGTAAAATTGCTTAACCTCTCTGTGCCTCATTTTCCTCACCTGAAGAATGAAGTAATAATAACCTATCTCATGGAATTTTTTAATGGATAAAATGAGTTAATTCATGAAAGAACTTGGTGTCTGGCATAGTACATACTTGCTTAAAGATTTGATCTACTGTTGTYCGCTATGGCAGGGTCAAACCAGAATATATGAAAATTGGGGCTGGTCTGGAAAAATATTTTAATTCTTTTGTTGTTTTGTTGTTATTCTTACTTTGCCCTCCACGCTAAAATACTTACAGGTTCTCCTTTTTGTCCTTTAGGGCCAACAGACCCTGGAAATCCTGGCAGTCCTGTTTCACCCTTTGAAGGAAAAAGCAGAAGAGAGATTTTGCATGAGAGTAGAGCGGTACCCTTTGACTGTCAGGACTAGAGGGTGATCTTACTTGCTTCCACTAACTGTAGAATTTACCTATTACAGTCCAAGGAACAAGGTGAAGTGCTAAATCTGGTTAGGCTATTTGCATGAGTGTGTTTGTAGGCACTTTACAATACCTTTAGATCATTCAGAGATCAATAACATTTCATTATGATATTTAAAATTAATGTGAAAAATGCTAATTATTTTTTAAAGGAAGCAACATTGACAGGAGAAAAAAATTCACCTTTTTCTTGTTTATCAAAAAGTAAAATATTTTTGTGACTTCAGTTATTACGTCCTTTAAAAGACACAGTTGTCCAGACTCATTTTATTCCAGACACTTCTTTTTTTTCATAGGTGGGGGGTGGGGAGTAGGGGTGACAGGAGTCTTGAGAAGAAAACTGAGTCCCTCTGTTGTCCCCAGCATTTATCCTGCTTCTTAGATGCTTGGCTGTGGACAAAGAAGGCATTCTCATATGTATGGTGACTGCAGCAGCTTAGAAATGTCTAGGATGTACTGGTCAAAAATTTTGAAGAGGGATTTGTATGTGACATATAAAGAGTATTTCCAGAAAATACAATTTGAGAGATAACACTTATGGAAAGGAATTATATCACTAATCGGCCTTTAGAGAAATTTCAGCATTGTGTGCCTCCCAGAGTTTACCATGATCTCTGAATACCACCCAATTCTTAAACATAGCTGTTACGAGATATGGAATTCTTTTTTTTTTTTTTTGTACCTCAGGAGCATTTTTGAACAATGATATTCACCATTACATTTCTGCATTTCCAGGTATATGTCCTTTTTGCCATTGTTGTATTTTTGTTTTAGCTTCACACACACACACACACATACACACACACACACACACACATACACAGAAAACATAGAGCTGAATAGGCCAAGCCTTCGTATACTAGGCATCTAGAATGAAAGTAATTAAAAACTTTACCATAAAAGATAAAATTCTTTGTATTTCCCTCTCTATCCCAGAGGGAGCCACTTTCATGAATTTGGCATTTATCTTTCAGTCCATATGTTTGTACTTTTTACTGCATTATGTGGAATCATAAACAATGCATTATAGCCGATGTTTTTTTTTCTATTGTTATATAAGACAAATTCAATCAATAGTTTTATCATGTATATAGTGATTTGTGGCTTTTCCCCCCAGTGGTTTTTCAGTGTCCATCTGTGTTGATATGTGTGATCTTGCTCATTCGTGGTACGATTTGCATGGCATGCTGATGCGCTGATGGCCAACCTTATCCCAGCCCCACTAATGGGCACTCAGCTTTCCTCTGTCATGACCAAGGAGGAAGTGAACATCTTCAACCTGCCCCCTTGTGTGTGGAGGTACCTCTCTCTGTTAATTTTGAAACCTTTAACAACTGCCTACTCCAAAGTACTTCAACTGCAAATTTATCACAGTTCTCAAATCTTGGACTTATTTCTATAGTTTCTATCACAATCCATCTTTTGGTATTTTGTAGAATGGGTAGTCATGATTGTATTTTCATTAATCAGTCTTATAGGTTTATGAAATGTGTTTTGTAAGTTTCTATTGAAATATTTAAATCACAGTATTGATTTTTCATATGACCAGTCTTCCTGTCAGTATCCTCAGAGCCCTGTTTGGGAAAGCCAAGATACCAAATGGAAAAATAGTCAGTTCATGGATGTGTTACTATGTATATTTTCAGCAGGGTTTCCCAAAGTATGGTCATCTGCACCCCAACCGTACAGTTCTTGCTATGTCACATACCACCTGTATAGCTATGGCTTATTTCTTCTCTAGATTTACTCACATTTTAAATATTTAATGTATTCTTTGAAGTAATACCCATGTAAGTTAGAATTTAGTGTGCTAGGTAGATGTTTTTGTCTTAATACAGAGCAAAATACAGAAACATTTTTCCTTCTAGTCTCTAAATACTTAGTATATCCTCAGTTTATATTTATACATTATAGAAATTTTTTGTTTTAGAGACAGTAAATTGTAATCAAAGTGAGGAAAGAAGTTGGTGAATATTTTAAGGCATCCATTGTTGGAGATTGAAAGAAGAAATAAACAACTGACATGAATAGGCATTAGAATGACCTTCATGTCACCCATCAGGTAGGTGCTAAAATCCCCAGTATATAAGTGTGAAGGAAAAATGAGATTAGTAATTAGACCCACCTAATAAAATAAAAGGAGAAAGTGGGGGAATGACCCAGAAATTACTTATAAAAATCACCTCAGCTCAAAAATCAAAGGAGGATAGAAAAGTGTTGGCAGAAGAATAAGAGTAATTATATTCAGAGATGTTATATATTGGAACAATATAAAATAGTGCTTCAATGAAACAGCAAGAATAGAACAGGGTGTGGTCTGTCCCCATGCACAGCCCCTGTGTGAGGCTGGGCTTGGAGCAATCCTTAGGACATTGTCCTTCATTTAAAATTCTGCAAACAAAAGTGTTTATACCCAAATCTCAGATAAACATGGGTTTGTATTTCATATTTAGAATGAATTTTCAATGATTTATCAATATGGATAGGAGTTGAAAGACAAGTGATGAATTTACTGAACATCAGCAAAGACCCTCCTTCAGTTTGATACTTTTGTGTTACTTAAAAGGCTATGAGCTGTTGAGATTCCATCTTGTCCCCCTGATAGTCTGCTCAAAAAAGAAAACAACAGAAAAAAAAACACTGGCTATTTTTTTAGGAGTCCTTATTCTGCTACCTTTCTCACTGTTTCTAGAAAGCAGCATTTCTCCTTAAGCTATCTGCTTATACATGATCCCTTCATCATATCCCTTCAGCCTAAGGTAAGCTACATAGCAGACGTTATTATTTCAATTCTAGTAGGCTGGTCCTGTGGATGTATGGCCTCCATTGCCATTTACTGTCAAAACCAAATTGTCTTTCCTGCTGGTTCTCCTTATCTTACTATGTTTGATACAGGGAGTGGCTGCTAAACTGGAAGTAATATGTACGTACATTCTAATGCTGATTGTGCTTGTCTGGAGCCTCGTTTTGATGTTGGGTTCTGAAGAGTAGGCTGTTTGTGTAACTCTACTTTGTGGTCAGTGCATCAAGAAGTGGCACATAATATAGCCATGATAAGTCATTTATGTGTTTAAGGTACTCTGGTTAAATCTTTTATTCTACAACACAAGTTGAGTCCATTCTCTGTTGAAATTGTGGTGGGAGATGCAAAGAGGAGCAAGACAAGCCACCAAAGATGGTAGCAATTAATGCCAAAAAGAACTAAATGAGACCTCAATAGAGGGAAAAGGTTTAGGAGAAAAGAACAAATTTTTATGGGGGGCTTCATGTGTGTTTGGAATTGTGCTTTTTGGTAAGTTCATTTCATTTGCTTTTAATCCTCCCATGAACTCTGGTAGCTAAATTGAGGAAACTGATGTTTACAGAAATGAAGTGGCATTCCCAAGGTGACACAGTTGTTAATGCCACGACTTACTTTTGATCCCAGAGCTCATACTCTTTCCAACACTCAGTGGTTCTTATCCCTGGCTGCATGTGAGGATTATCTGAAGCACTTTTAAATGATAAAGCTATCAGTCTCACCCCAATGCAAAGTCTCTAAGGACAGGGCTGGAGCAGGTATTTCCTAAAAGCTCTCCAGGTCATTCTAATATGCAGCCAGGAATCAGGACCACTAGGGCCACCACAGGCATAAAGCAAAAGACCCAGGAGAGTAACTAGAGAAGTTCTAAAATTTCACTGTGGTGACCCATGAGCAACACTGCAATTTTAAAAAAGAACATGTTTTTCCAGAATAGAGAAGAATTGAGTGTGAATAAGTAGAGTTGATTTCACTCTTAGCAACTGTGATACTTATGTCTTTTAATTTATTTTATGTATTACTTATGGGCAGAGGCTTTTCCCTGTTAATTACAATTTAAAAATCTTTTCATATGTACACTTATATTAGATACTGCATCAAGTTCCCTGTAGACTCTTCTAAGTTATTTATTTGGGTGGGAAGAGGGAACAGTTATGCCACTGGCTTTGTCTAATTCCACTTAAGATTCTGAAGCAATTAGAAAAGATTTTGAGCAATAGAAAAGGTCCTTAGAGTTTGAAATACACCTGTTTTACAGAATCAAATTTCTCATCAGTGAGGTCTTATGAATTCCTAAGTAACATATGTTTCCTAATGAATATAGCAAAACAGAAGTCAGCTGTTTTGTTTCAAGGAATGAATCATCGTTTAAGTGCTTTAAAAGTGTCACAATGCTCTCCTTTGCTCAGCTGTTATATGTGACAAGCTCCATGGCTTTCTCCCCTGCCCCTTAGCCTGCATGTGTCCAGTAGTAATTGCTTAAAATGTAATGTGTTTGTTATGGTGGGTTATGGTTTCTGTAAGCTATTGGGTTACAGGAAATAATGCTAATGTACTAGCAGTAAAATCCAAGACCCATAGTGAATTGCACTGCTATATAATTATTTTTTTAAAAAATTCCTTTCAGAATGTCAAGGTTTTATTTATTTAATTATTTTGCAGAAAATTTCATTTTCAATGGCCAATCTAAAAGAAGCTCCTAGTTTCTCTTGAGACTCTCTTTTAGCAGTATTTTCTGGTGAGGAATACATGAGTTTTTAAAAGTCTGGTTGCTGGAATTTATAATGCATAGAGGTCATATTTTCTTGGATTCATGTTGAAATACCCTGCCCTCAATCAAGACAGTTTTTACTGGGTGAATGAATGAAGGTGGCACTCACATGCCACCTTCTACTCATCTCAGTAGATTTAATGTGCTGGTTTCTTGTTTTCTCTGACAATGGCACATTCACACTGAATCCAAGGTCATGGCAATTTTAGAGTCAAACAGGAGTGAAACATCTTTTCTAGTAGAAAAGTGAATCTGTCATCTTCACAGCTAATAACATTAAACTAATGAATGATGATAATTAAATGCAATGGAAATTTATCAGCACTGTTTTTTAAAAATTGTTTTTGAGATAGTTATTTGTTCAAAATACTGCTGTACAGATTAAAACCCCACCAAAAAATGTTCCCACAAAAATGTTCCAGTCTTTGTTTGGTACTTACAAACACACGGGATGGAGCCTGAGACTGAGGCATTTCACCTGAGGGGTCTTTGAACTGTTTTTTGCTACCTCTACTATTCACCAAAATCTAATGATAAGTCAGATCTTGTGTTCTAATTTATTTTACCTCATTATAGCTTTTTCCCCTTCAGCTGTCCCATTTCTTGTAGCCAACTTCTGCTGGGCAGTGGTTACTGAGGAGCTGCCTGGTCAAGAGGCAGGTGAAGCTCTTGCTTACTGCTAAGGGGACCTGACTGACGCGGTGGGGAGACAGGGTTGGTACAAAACACCGGGCCTTTTAATTCACATTGAAAAATATTATTACCTTTTCTCCTTTAGGGTCACTAGCTCCAAGTTCACCATTTCCCTAGGTAAAAAATAAAACAAAAGTCCACTTAATTTTAATGCATTTAGTCTTGAAAACACAGTCAGTTACTAGTACTGGGTCAGCTTTTTATGGATATTATGTGGCTTTGGCAGACATCTTTGTCTTTCTCAGCTTTTGTTAAATGGTCCTGTTAGATATTCTGTTAAATAGCTCAGATGTTGGAGGCCCCATCTGTCTTCTCTGTGACATCTTCAGGAAATGGCTTTTGAGAAACTCCATACCTAGTGGGGCAAAGCCTCAATTTTCCACATTCACACCTAGAAGTTTCCACTGGCCCTACCTATGACTGAGTTTTCCACTTCTGCGGTCCCCAGACCACTAATTTGATTCCATTTCACTGGGCAGATAACTTTTCCCATTATCACACTGGAAAAAAAAATACAAATTCTCAGGCAGCACTTCAAATTCCTGCCACCAAACCTACAAAGCCATGCATTTGACCTTGGCTCTATAAGTCCTATGAATCACATACCCTTTGCCTTTTTTGGACATTTTCCTCATTAATGTTACCTATTCCCATTAGATGAAATTGGCAAATTTGTTAAAATTAAGTAAATGTAGCTAAAATTGGCAAAATTCTTTAATATCTCCTTGTCTACCTATTTTCTCTTTTCCAAACTTAACACCAAATACATAGTCTCTTGGGTACACATTTCTCTTAAGCTATGCTTTCCTCTTCATTCTTGAACCATTCTTTCAAAAGGCCAATAAATGTTGTCTGTGCCCACTGACCAAGATGCCCTTAATGTTCCTATAACCTGAAGTACACTTTAGATAGACTTATTTTTGACTCTAGGCCCTGATCTCCCTTTTTTAAAAGCACTTAATTTAGATAACTTGTGCTAGTAAATCCATTTCCTATCCTTTTGAGATGTAAATCTTTTAAAAAGCTCCTCTTTGGCTAAATGACCCTAGAATGTCTTTCTCAAGGACTGGAGCAATTCTTTTGAAAGGTAATCACCAAGAAAGATGGAGTCCAGTTTCTCAGCCTCTGTGGGAGGACAGGAACCTAATTTCAGCCTTGCTCCACCTCCACAAAGATGAAAGAAAATTTACTTCTCCTTTGGGTAAAAACACAAATACAGTAATGCCTCACCATCCATGGGAAATTGCTTCAAGGGTTCCCCAGGGATACTAAAATATGTTGCTCTAACCCCTTATATAAAATGCCATAGTATTTGCAATAACTTATGCATATTTATCCCTATACTTTAAATCATCTCAAGATTACTTAAAATACCTAATACAATGTAACTAATATATAAATAGTTGGTATACTGTGTTATTTAGGAAATGATATGACCAGAAAATAAAATGACTTGAAAAAAAAGTGCACATATTCAGTAAAGAGATAAAGTTTTGTCTAATTGCTCTGGCTAGAGTTTTAAGGATGATGTTGAATAGAAGTGGTGAAAGAGGACATCCTTGTCTTCTTCCAGTTTTTAGCTGGAATGCTTTCAATTTTTCCCCATTTAGAATGATGCTGGTCTTGGGTTTAGCATATATAGCTTTTACAATGTTGAGGTATGTTCCTACTATCTCTAGCTTTTTCTAGTGTTTGAACATGAAAGTGTGCGGTATTTTGTCAAATGCTTTTTCTGCATCTACTGAGATGATCATATGATTCTTGTTTTTAAGCCTATTAATATGATGAATTACATTTATTGATTTCCCTTTGTTGAACCAACCCTGCATCCCTGGGATGAATCCCACTTGATCGTGGTGCCATACTACCAAAAGCATTAAACAGATTTAATGCAATTCCTATTAAAATCCTAATGAAATTTTTCATGGAAACAAAAAAAAAATCATGAAATTTATTTGGAAAAATAGGAGACCCAGAATAGCTAAAGCAATCCTTAGCAAGAAAAGTGAAGCAGGAGGCATCACAACACCAGACCTTAAACTACACTACAGAGCTATATTAACAAAAATGGCATGGTATTGGCACCAAAATAGACTTGTAGACCAATGGTAGAGAATAGAGGACACAGAGACAAACCCAAATAAATACGGTTAACTCATACTAGACAAGAGTTGCCAAAAACATTCACTGGGGAAAAGATAGCCTATTCAACAAATGATGCTGGGAAAACTGGAAATCCTTAGGTAGCAAAATAAAATTAAACCTCTGTCTTTCACCCTGCACAAAAATCAACTCAATATGGATCAAATATTTAGGCACTAGAACAGAGACCCTGTGCCTAATAGTAGAAAATATAGACCTAAATCTGCAGCATGTCAGCCTAGGATCTGATTTCCTTAACAAGACTCCTAAAATGCAAGAAGTAAAATAAAGAATCAATAAATGGGATGGATTCAAATTAAAAAGCTTCTTCTCAGCAAAGAAAACAATAAATAACATATGGAGAGAGCCTACAGATTGGGAGAAAATCTTTACCACATGAACCTCCAATAAAGCATTAATCTCTAGGATATATATAAAGAATTCAAAAAACTAAACACCAAAAAACCAAATAACCCATCAATAAATGAACTAAGGAACTGAACAGWCACTTCACAGAAGAAAAAATACAATTGATCAACAAATATATGAAAAAGTGTTCAAAATCTCTAGCAATTAGAGAAATGCAAATCAAAACTACTCTAAAATTTCATCTCACTCCTGTCAGAATGGCAATCATCAAGAATACAGGCAACAATAAATGTTGGCAAGGATGTGGCAAGGATTGATGGTGGGACTGCAAATTGGTACAACCACTATGGAAAACAGTATGGAGGTTCCTCAGAAAACTGGGAATTGAACCACCATTTGACCCAGCTATCCCACTCCTTGGTTTATACCCAAAGGACTTAAAATCAGCATACTACAGTGATGCAGCCACATCAATGTTTACAGCAGCTCAATTCACAATAGCTAGCCTATGGAACCAACCTAGGTGTCCCTCAAAAGATGAACAAATAAAGAAAATATGGTATATATACTCAATGGAATATTACTCAGCTTTAAAGAAGAGTGAAATTATGGCATTTGCCAGTAAATGTTTGGAGTTGGAGAATATCATGCTAAGTGAAATAAGCCAATCCCACAAAACCAAAGGTCAAATGTTTTCTCTAATATGTGGATGGTAATTCACAATAAGGTAGGGGGCACTAAGGAAAAATTACATTACCTTAGATTAGGTAGAGGGAGGTGAAGGGAGGGGAAGGGAGGGGATGTGGGGATAGGAAAGAGTAGAATGAAACAGATATTATTACTGTTATGTATATATGTGACTACATGACCAACATGATTCTGCATCATGTACACTCAGAAAAATGTGAAATTAAATCCCATCTGTGTATGATATATCAAAGTGCATAAATGCATCCTACTGTAATGTATAACTAATTAAAGAAAATAAATTTTTTTATAAAAAAAGATGTAATGTTTTACAAATATTTTCCACCCATGGTTGGTTGAATCCTCAGATGTGGAACAGACAGGTAAGGATGGCCAAGTGTATCTTTGTTTTCTCTCTCTAACTTTAGCATTTTAAAGTTTCCTTTTGTGTAAGTGGAGTTGAAATAAGGCTGAGTCTGGCCTTTCACCTCTACTGTAAAATTCTTAACCACTTCCTTGCTTCTTTAACTTTTTCAGGTGAGATCACTGGGCTCTGATACCACTTACTCATCCCCAATTTTCGCCAAACCTCATAGTAATGTGACTTTGGCTCCAGCCAATCCACTGAAGCAGCTCTACTGTTGGCAAGGCTTTCTCTGCATTAATGACCTCTTAGCTGCATCTGCCACTTTCTCTCTTTCTCTCTCACCTCTTTTTTTTCCCTCTTTTAACTGCAAACTCGCTGTTCAGACTCTTTTCTCATGTGACTCAACACTTTCTCTCAAGCAGTCTTATGGTCCAGGCATCATTACACAAAAACAAGTTTATATACCCATCCTGCACCTTCTGCCTGAATTTTAAATCTGTATATCTAATTTCCTGCTTTCGGTATTCACTTGTAACTTCTAGAAGCAATTCAGTTAACAAATTCAAAGCTGAAGTTAAAATATGCAACAAATACACATATAAGATAAAAAAGAGAAGAGAGTTACATCATACTGTTAACACTGGTTAATCCAGAAGTGGGAGAACGATAATTACTCTTTCCCAATTTAATTCTGCATTTTCTCTTTTTTTTAAATATTTATTTATTTTTTTATTTTATCGGCGGACACAACATCTTTGTATGTGGTGCTGAGGATCGAACCCGGGTCGCACGCACGCCAGGCGAGCACGCTACCGCTTGAGCCACATCCCCAGCCCCTGCATTTTCTCTTTTTAAATGAGCAAGTAATTTTATTTTATAGTTGAAAAAAATCAAGGAAAGCAAGACAACCTGCACTCACCTTCCCCCTTCCATAGGACTCTTCTTCCTTTAATCAGGGTGTCATTCCTAACACTGTTAGAGTCTGTAAACAAGTCAGGATGGCGCCTGGCATTTTGCCAGGGGGAGTGGTTTGTGAGGTGGCGCCAGCGAGCCATTAAGTGTGGAGATTTCTTATTGGTTGACTGCTGTATCCAGTTTATGTTAATTAAGATAAGCTGTGTGGAATGTATATATATGCCTCCGGTCCTACAATAAACAGCTCCCACTCCTGCTGTATCAATCTACACAAGTTGCTCCCCCCGCCCCCCCCCCCGTTATTTTGCTGCAGCCAGACTGCGGCATAACACGACCCCTTACTTACTTCTCATGTACAGCCATCCAGTCTCCTTGACACTCCCCTAATTTCTACTCTAGGCTATTTGCCTTCATCCCAGGCAGATCACCATCATGTCTCACCAGGATCATGATACTGGGTCCCCAATTGGCCTTCTGCAGTTCATTCTGGATCCCCTGACACATATATTCTCCACATAAGATCAGACAGATACATTTACTAGATGTTCTGACTTCTTTCAAAGCCTTAACAGAGGCATCAAACACCCTCCAGCACCATCTGGGCCATTCTTCTCCCTCTGAGGCTCCAGCTAT